CTTTTTGAACTTGTTCATGTTGATTTGTGGGGGCCATACAAGATTTCTTCTACTTGTGGTTCTCGTTATTTTTTAACAATAGTGGATGATTTTTCAAGAGGAGCGTGGACGTATTTATTGCGTAATAAAACTGAAGTTGAGTTGATGTTTCTTAATTTTGTTGCTTTGGTTAGACGACAATTTGAGCATGAGATTAAAATTGTTCGTAGTGATAATGGAACCGAATTTAACTCTTTGTGTGACTACTTTATTGCTAATGGGATCATATTTGAAACTTCTTGTGTGGGGAATCCTCAACAAAATGGTCGTGTTGAGTGTAAACATCAACATATTCTAAATGTGGCTCGGGCCTTGAGATTTCAAGCAAATTTACCCATAAGGTTTTGGGGGGAGTGTGTGCAAGCGGCTTGTCATTTGATAAACCGTACTTCGTCTAGATTGCTTGATTTTAAGACTCCGTATGAGATTTTATTTGATAAGCAACCTTCATTTGATTATATTAAGGTATTTGGATGTTTATGCTATGCTCATGATCAACGTAGCAAAGGAGATAAGTTTTCTAGTAGAAGTCGTAGGTGTGTGTTCTTGGGATACCCCTTTGGTAAAAAGGGATGGAAGTTGTTCGATTTGGATACAAAAGAGATTTTCGTATCGCGTGATGTGAAATTTGTTGAGCAAGTATTCCCTTTTATTTCTACTCATGTCGATGCAATTGCAAGCCAAGCATGTGTGCAACATGAGGATATGTTTGTTAGTGATGATGAGTTGGAAAGTGGTGATGACGAGGGGAGTGTGGGGCGTGTGAATTTTGGTGAAGGAAGAGAAGCACCTGCTAGCAGAGCTGAAGCAACTGCCCAGACAGAGTACTCCACGGGCAGCCCACGGACCTACCCCCATCAGCCACGACCGGGCCGTGGCAGGGACTGCCAGCAGCGTTGATATGCTTGCTGGGCATCCTGCAGGCCATGGTGTGGGGCAGCAGCACACGGACAGTGGTGCAGCAGCCACGGGTCTTGAGCAGCAGTCGTTGGATGGTTCTGTCGAAGATATTGAGCACGGTGAGGCTACTTGTGACATGGGTAAAGGGAAGCGAATGAAGTATACTTCGGTAAAACACAGAGATTATGTGACCCACACCATTCGGAATAATAGTCCACTCACACATCAACGTTCATCCGTGACAACTTCCTCAGGTACTGTTTATCCCATAGCACATTTTGTTGATTCTCACAAATTTTCAGTGAAACATAGAACATATATTGCTGCAATCACAGGTAGTAATGAACCGAAGAATTTCAAGGAAGCTATGAAGCATGAAGGATGGAGACAAGCAATGGCCGATGAAATACGGGCTCTCGAAGAACAAGGCACATGGGTCCTAGAATCTCTACCACCTGGTAAAAAGGCGTTAGGGAGTAAATGGGTCTATAAAGAAAAGTACGATGAACATGGAAATTTGCAACGATTGAAAGCTAGACTAGTGATATTTGGCAATCATCAGGTTGAAGGTCTAGATTACAACGAGACTTTTGCTCCGGTGGCAAAAATGGTGACAGTTCGTACTTTTCTTGCAGTTGCAGCAGTGAAAAATTGGGAAGTGCATCAGATGGATGTGCATAATGCCTTCTTACATGGAGACTTGGAGGAAGAGGTATACATGAAAATTCCCCCTGGTTTTGATAAAAATAATTCAGGAAAAGTATGCAGGATGAAGAAGTCATTGTATGGCTTGAAGCAAGCTCCCCGGTGCTGGTTTGCTAAATTGACAACAGCTTTGAAGAATTATGGCTTTAAACAGTCATATTATGATTATTCTCTTTTTACTCTGACAAGAGGGAAAATGCAGCTTAATGTGCTAGTTTAGGTCGATGATCTAATTGTTGCAGGGAATGATAAAAATGCTTTGTTGTCATTCAAAGCATATCTAGGTGACTGTTTCAAGATGAAGGACTTGGGGGTATTGAAATATTTTTTGGGGCTAGAGATAGCTAGAAATAAGCAGGGGATTTTCATGTATCAGAAGAAGTATGCTTTAGACATAATTACTGAAACAGGGTTGCTTGACGCAAAACCTGCAGATTTTCCCATGGAACAAAATCACAAGCTAGCTCTGGCGGATGGGGATTTATTTGGTGATGTTGAGCGGTATAGACGTCTTATAGGACGTTTGATTTATTTAGTTGTCACTAGGCCAGACCTGGCTTATTCTGTGCATATTTTATCTCAATTTATGCAGAGCCCGAGAGTAGAGCACTGGGATGCTGCCTTGCGAGTTGTGAGATATCTGAAGAAGAGTCCAGGTCAGGGTATTTTGCTAAGGTCTGATAGTGCTCTACAGTTGGAAGGGTGGTGTGATTCGGATCGGGCGAGTTGTCCATTATCTCGGCGTTCATTGGCAGGTTGGTTTGTGTTTCTTGGTTTATTTCCCGTGTCATGGAAAACAAAGAAACAACCAACGGTTGCTATGAGCTCTGCGGAAGCAGAGTACAGGTCTATGTCCGCATGTACTCGTGAGTTGAAGTGGCTAAAGCGGATTTTGAGAGATTTAGGTGTGCGACATGAGAGTGGCATGCACCTTTATTGTGATAGTCAGTCGGCATTATACATTGCGAAGAATCCGGTGTTTCATGAGCGCACGAAACATATTGAAGCCGATTGTCATTTTGTAAGGGACGCTATTACCGAAGGTCTCATAAAACCGTCGTATGTTCCGACGACACTTCAGTTGGCCGACATTTTCACAAAGGATTTGGGGAAGGTGAAGTTTGATTTTTTACTCCGCAAGTTGGGCATCTATGATCCGTATGCTCCAACTTGAGGGGGGTATTGGAGATATTCTAGATACACTAGGATATTATTGTGATATATTTAGGTAGCATATCTTATGAAAAGATATGGTAGAATATTGTAGAATATTATGGAAAGTTTAGGTTGTTAACCTAGCTATATATATTTGTGTATATTGTGATCCAGAATAGAGGAGAATACAGAGAATATATTTTCATAATTTGTCTCTGATTTGACAATTTCTATGACAAAAAGCCTAAGATATTGTTTTTAGTGGTGAATAAATTATATTTATAGATATAAATCATTAAAAAAAATTATTTAAATGTCTAATGACTTTCAAATAAATAAATTCACTGAGAAACAACAATTTATTTTGCTATTAAAAAAATATGAGCATTGTTGAAATAATATCAAACAAATAATATTAAAATTATTTATACATCAACAAATTACGTGAAATTATTTATAAAATAACCAATTACATGTAAATATCAGTTAATTCATATATTACTTAAAATTTACATATTATTATTTTCATATTAAATAATTCAATATTACAAAAATCATTATTTCTTCATTTTATAAATATTTTTTAATTACATATTATTATTTTCATATTAAATAATTCAATATTACAAAAATCATTATTCCTTCATTTTATAAATATTTTTTAATTATATATTATTATTTTCATATTAAATAATTCAATATTACAAAAATCATTATTTGTTCATTTTATAAATATTTTTTAAACTACTTTTTTAAGTAAAAAACAAGTGGGTCAATTGACCCTATTAACTTGAAATTAGTAACGGCGAACCTCCAATAAGGATTGAAATATATTGTTGCTGTATTTAGTACTTAAAATAAAATATAAAATAAAAGGAGGAATGACCAAGCGTTGGTTGATTGTAACAATTGAATTTTAATATTTTATTTATTTCTACTATCATCGTGAGAGTAAGGGATAATAAAGTATGAGACAATCTCTTAATTTATTCCCAATATATAAGACATAACATTGTCATGAGAGGTATTGTTTGATTCATTTTAACGAATACATTATTAATATTCAATTGGAAATTCTCATTGGTAATCACTAACTAATTTTTTTCTCAATGATAAAGGCCTTATGGGTGCAATTTTTAATTATTTGTGGTAATCAAACTTTAATCTGATTAATCAAATGGTAACTTGTGTTTTAAAAACAACATTAAATCATAAACCATGGTTAAAAAACAATGATTTGACTAATTTACCCTTAAAATTATTTCCCTCTAATTTTTTTGTTCTGATTTCCCTAACCCATTTATAAAATCCCCAATTCTTCCTCGATTATTCACATTCTCAATTTTCTAGGGTTCTTCATTCTCCAGATTTGGGATTATGGCAAAATCAGGTTCAACATCTGTGTCAATGAAGGCTATCACCATAGACGACAAGCTTGAGCGGGTAAAGGTTGTGACTTGCAACTGTTCTCCCCCTAAAATTGTTGTGGTGAAAGTATCTAAAACCATGAAAAACCCACGAAGGTTGTTCTTCAAGTGTAGGGGTTGCAATTATTTTGCGTGGGTGAAGGAAGAAGATGTAGTCAGGGCAGGGGATGAATTTGAGGTTGAAGGAGGTTCATCTGATTCTTTGAAGAAAAAAGTAAAGGATTTGGCCAATTTCATGAAAATTGTTGTGAAAATAGCGCTGATATTGTATTTTGTGTTGTTGTTTGTTGTTTCTAAGTAGTAATGTATGCATTCCCTTCCCTTTTAGTTATGCCATGGTTAATGTATGCATTCCCTGTTGGTATGCTTTGGTTAAAGGATGTACTGTAAAAGGCTTTTATGCCATTATGAATAAAATAGTAGCTTCTGAATTTATGAATTTCTTTGCATCCAATACAACAGTATATAATTGAATTGCAAAATATGAAGCTTACATAAGTTAATATGAGCTTATTGCATCCAATGTAATAGAACTGCAAAATGTGAAGCTTACATAAGTTAATTGCAACCAATCATCAAATTGTCTACAAAATCATATCAAAGCAAGTTAAGCAACCTTATAACTAGTTGCCATATCCACTAAATACTGTCAAAGATGTGTCTACTAACATCATTTACTTAGAAAAAATACATCATAACTTTGAAATATGTCCAAAAACCATCAGAAGTTGCAAATATATCCAAAAAACATATGTTGCCATGTAACTAAGTTAACTAAACAGGCTGAGAGGCAGAGACACCCTTCTTTGTTCTTGGTGATCTTCTTACGGGCTGGGATGTTGAAGCAATTGTTGTTGGATCAGGCTGGGATAGGGATAACCCCTTTGTCAATGCAATAGTTGTTGTTGGCTCAGGCAGGGACAAAGACACCCCCTTTGGCTTTGATTTTGGGGAATGTTTCTTGTTCTGTTGCCCTGCATTTGCTGCCATATATGTCTTCTCTTTCCCAGTAAGACCACCTTGGCATGTTTGAGAGTTATGCCCATAATTATGGCACTTGCTGCACTTAACAGTCTTGACCTCTTTCCCTTAGCATGTTCACCTTCCTCCCTTCTTCTATTTCTTGCAGGCCTACCAAAGTTGTTTTCAGGCCATTGCTCAACATCTGGGATGGATTTGATGGTGTTGGCATAAACCATCTTGTACCTTCTCAAGGAGTACCGTTCACTCACAAACTTCTTAGGATCTTCATGTGCATGTATAATAGCCCTCATTCCATTCTTACATGGAAAACCAGATAGCTGCCACACATTGCAGGTACAAGTATTGTCATTTAAGTTCACAGGAAACACAGATTTACCATCTAGCACTTCATACTCTCCAGCTCTAGCCTTCAAACATCTACTAGTCCTTGACTCATGATTAACCACTTGTAGTCTTTTGATGATATTTGGACAAATATCATCATTCCAACTCTTACACTGCTCCCTTCTAGTGGCCAGTCTGACCATAGTCAGTCTTCTGATCCCTGCAATAACAGGTTAAGATGGTCAGTGTTATTTCCTAAGTGTGGTAATTCATATACAACATAAGCTATTTATAACAAGCTACCTTCAAATAAAGTAAGAACAGGTCTGCATTTGTTAATTCCCAAAGTAGCATTAAAGCTTTCAACAAAATTCACTTTATATTTGGGTTAAATGCATGTTTAGACCATGTTGACTGGGGTCCCACTTTTACCAACCATTCTAATGCTAATGTATTAGCCTTTTTAAGAGCTTCCATTGCCTTTTTAAAAGTAAAATTAAATGGTTGCAAGCTCCAGCAGCCTTCCAATAGAGTGAGAACATAAGTAAGCCTGGAAACTCTGCCTTGAAGTTCTTGACAAGATGTTTGCAGCAGTACCTTCTTCCAACTTTTGGCCACAAATCAGTTAGTGCAGCTTGTATACCCTGCATTGCATACAGATCATCAAAGTGTTGTCGACAAGACATCATTTAGTAAAATTATGAAATACAAAGAGACGGGAACAGAGTCTACCTTTTGCATATATGAGATGATACACCATTCATCTCCTTTTCCACTATCCTTTAATGCATTCTTCAAATGCCATATGAAAAACTTCCAAGTATTAGTGTTTTCAGCTTCAACTGTTGCCCAGGCAACTGGAAAAAGTTCATTATTTGCATTTAAAGCAACAGCTACCAGAAGCACTCCACCATAGTTCCCTTTAAGGTAAGTCCCATCTACCCTAATTATGCTTCTACAACCAGCAAATAGCCCATCCAATACAGCTTTAAAAGATATGAAAATGCTCTTAAATGCTAATGGGATTTCTGGACGGGTTGCAGGATTCCAAGCACAGTTTGCTAAGGAATTGGGGTTCAAAGCTTTAATGACATCACAGTACAACGGTCGTAACTTGTAAGACATATTATGCCCTCCATGGATTTCTTCTAAGGTCTTAGCTCTCACTCTGTACAGTGCTGACTGAGCCATTTCTATGCCAAACCTTTTCCATAGCAGCTCATTCAATGAATTAGCAGGTATGTCATTGTTTTCTCTAATGTCTTCCATCAAGACCCTTTTATCTCAACACACATTAACCACGCTATTCCTAGACTTCAATCCTTGGCAGGTGTGTTCAGAGTTCTGAATGCCTTTAATAGCCCAAGTGGTTCCATCTGGCAGAACAACAGCATGCAATCTCCACTGACAGTGTGCATCAGAACATCTAACTATGTATCTCAGGTTGTTTGCATTGTCCACTACCAATGAAAAGCCACATTGAATACAGTAGTCCCTTACAACATCCCTAAGATGTTGTTTGTCTATGAATAATTGCCATGGTTTCAACTCAATTCTCCCAAAACCCATATCCTGATACACTTTTCCATTGTTGTAAAGCTTACTAAAGTAATTATCCTCATCCTTCTCACACTCAAAAGCAGGCTCATCAAATAGATCAAAAGTGTCCTCAACCATTGCACCATACTCCTCCCGAGGTATGTCATACTTAGTGTCAACACTCTCATCAGTATCTGACCCCTCATCACTATCATTTGGTTCATATCCTCCATCATCTTCTTCATCATATAAAGACAGGCTCTGATTCTCATTCACGTTACTACCAGCACCTAAATTACCAGAACTACTCCTTCTTCTACTCCCAACTACACTCATAGTATTCACATCACTATCACCACCAGATGCACTAGCACTTATCACAATTCCCTTAGATGATTCAGAATTCTTCCCTCCACCAAACTCTCCAGTGTTTGCTAAAGGTGCAATCATAGCTTAGGTACAAGGCTGGGATTGCGTTTGTTGGAGACTGATTTGTGGCTGGGGTTCATTAACTGTCATAGGTTCATGGTCTAACTGAGGTTCAAATTCTATGTATTGATCAACTTGCCATGGTGTTGGTGAGATATTAAACCAATCTTCAAGTGCATTACCCCTACCCTACCCCTGTCTCTTCCTCTCCCTCTCCGAGTACCCCTCCCTCTCCCAGTTCCCCTACCTCTCCCAGTACCCCTTCCTCTCCCTCCCCCCTACCTTTCCCTCTTCCTCTTATAGGTCCATCCCTTAAAATATCACCCCAAGTATCTTCAATATTAGTGCCCTCAGGTATATAAGCTTCAACTATGGGTTTGGGTATAGACTCTGATGTTTTCAAACTAGCAACATGCCTCTCAAATTCCTCTTCAGAAATAACCTCAGCTTCATTCAAAGTGTTATGTCTTTTTCTAGGGGTCAGTTTAGGTATCTTAGTACTAGGACTTCCTATTTCTTTAACTACTTGTTTATCAATGTCCATGGTTGATTTACCTAAAACAAGTGACCTAGCAGCATACACAACTTCAGTATCCTTAAGGCCATCCCCTATCCATAGATATATCTCTTTCTTACCAGGTAGGTTAGCAAACATCTTCATCAAATCAGCATCACATTCCAGAGAAACATGCTTCATTTTATACACATATTTAAAAGTCGGGTTTTGGGGTGTTTCTACATTTTTTTTCCTTATCCTTCTCCCAATATTCAACTATGAGGTCTATCAAATTGACCTTATCAACATCCTCAACATTCACAGAAACATCTATACCCTATATTGAAATTGCAACACTACAACATCACCCATTCTGCAACAAACACACGACCAAACAAAACACAACAACAAACACTATAAGAATCATACCTTAACACACGAAAACAGAGCATAACATACTTAATTGCAAAAAAAAAATATACATACCTGGCTTCAACTCAAGTCGGATGTTGTAATTTTCTTCAAATACTTGCTAAAAATTTGATCTTTCAATCCCACGCATGTAATATTGTCGTCATCCACCCAGCAAACCCACGAATCTTCTACCCAAAAACCCCCAAATAATCCCCCCAAAAAAACCCCAATTTGTTGGATAAAAACCCTATGAATTAAACAAAAACCCAGAATTTCTAAATCCCTCGTGTTATTTGGTTTGATGTTCTTCGCAAATTCCTCTTCAGATTTTCTCTTGCAAATGAAGAAAATGATCGATCAAAGTTATGCCCATAAATTTATTAGACACAGTTGATTGGAGTAAAATAAATGGGGGCAAATTTGTCTTTTCACATCTCAGGATCTAAACCATGGTTAAACACTTAACCAATACTTAAACACAAGTTACCATTTGATTAATCAGATTAATGTTTGATTACCACATATAATTAAAAGTTGCACCCTTTACCATTGAGAAAAAAAATTACTTAGTGATCACCAGTGAGAATTTCCCACATTCAATTAATATAATTTTTACAAGTATGGTCAAATAAGTGAATTGTCAAATGTTTAAAGTCAAAACATAACCAATACAAAGGAACAGAGAGACTAAGTTTAATAATTTATATACGTTTGAAAATGAAAATAAAACCATTTATGACGAATCTTGAAAACCGCGCAAATTGGGCAAAATTTTGGGAACGAAGGGTGTACAACACTGCCTCCGTTTTATAATAAACGCAACTTTAAATTTTGCACTATTCATATGCTTACTATCATCTACTTTTTTTTAATGCAAAATTTGATTACATTTATTGGAGGGTGTTAAGTACCGACAATAATTTTTATCATAACAGCCAATATTTAGGTGAATGGACACCATGCCCTTACTATAGCCCCCAACTATTTTTTTTTCCTCTTTTACTCGTATTTTTCTCTCTCTCGTCACCCATAAGGGTCAGAAACTCACAACCACCATCAGCCACAAAAGCGGTTGTACACCAAATGTAAAGGCGAAGCAACGACTGTACGTTAGAGGTGGAAGGCAGCGACGACGGGAGGTGATGAACTAGCAAGTGCAAAAATTTATGTATATATTCAGTTGAAAACAATTAAAGTAGCAAGTGCAAAAATTTATGTATCCAGTTGAAAACAATTGACGTAGCAACTAGCAGGTGAACAAATTTAAATAACATTACCCTAAATATTTAAGGAAAAACTTAAATACAACCTTTGGCTTTCTCTTTATTAATAATACAACCTTTTTTATTATTTTGTAATAATACAATCTTTAGGGGGTGCTCATTTTAAACAAGAAAAAATCGAATTTTCGGTGAGTTTTAAGGTGGGAGAAGGGGAGGGTATATTCCCCCTTTCCCAATCCCCACCACCAAAAACTCATCCTCTCCTCTTTTCCTAACTTCAAAATCCACTGAAAATTCAATTTTGTCTTGTTTAAATGAAAACCTATTTAAGGTTACATTATTACAAAATAATCCAAAGGCTGTATTATTAAAAAAATAACCGACCAAAGTTTATATTATTTTTGTAAATTTTTCCAATATTTAAACAACGTTACATTGTGCATCTGTGTTCAACCCTACGTCGGAGGTGGAAAGGCAACAACGACAACAACCGGAGGCAACCACTGACATGCAAAATCGATTACACACCATAATAACCTGTTTTTGGAAGCTAGTTATTGTGGCCAACTGGCGTGAAAATCTAGTCACTCGAGATGGTGGCTGGTTTTGGACGCCGATTACCGTCCCAAGTGACCAGTTTTGCGCGTCGATTGTGCTGGTCGTTGAAACAATAAAAAGTTTCCACCCTCTTGTCGACGAGGGAAGGTGGAGGGGTTGTTTTTCCGATGATTGTTGACTGTTGTTGGTGGTTTCGACAACACAAACAAAAATCTAGTACCTCTTGGTGGTTGTGGGCGGTGATGGTGGGTGGTGGTGGTCGCGGTCACGTGGGTGGTGGTTGCTTTTGTGGTGGTTGACGGTTGAGTTTGAGGTTTGATGGATTTAGGAGAGAGAGTAAAGTAGGGATAAGTAAGGGTAATTTTGTTTCTTCATCACTTATGTTAGCGATTTGATTGAAAAAAATGGTGGTATTTTAGCAATACACTATTTGTTGTAACTATATTAAAAACATATGTTGTCATGTAACATATTTTTTAGTTTTTATGTATAAATTAAGCATTTATAGTTTTTAATAATATGTAATTATAAATACTAATAGTCAAAGTTGTACATAAATAATCAAAATATTATAATTATTATGAAATAAAAATGAGTAAGTATTGATTAAAGTTTTGAAGGATGCACAAAATCAAATTTCATTTACATCATTGTCCTTTATGAATTGTGAGTATGTGATCCTTTTAAGTTTTAAGTCTTAACAACTTAAGTACAATAATACAACATTACCCTCAAAAAACGTTACTCTCGTTGAGTAAACTACTAAACTCTATTAGCAGCTTATAACACTTGTTTGCCGGCCTCTTTTTCTCAGCAGTGACTGAGATTACTCTTTAGGATTTCAAAATTTTCCCAAATTTTTATAATCAACCCTTTTAATCAAAATTCAAATTCAATTCCCAGGTTCCCAATTTTTCTTCAATTTTTTTCTTGTATAAACATTTGGCAAAAGAGAAGAGGAGGAAAAAAAAAACCAAGAAAAAACCCAGAAAAATTACAGAAAAATGAGATGGGAGAAATGGAAGCAGAGCGCAGCAATGGAGAAGGGAGGTGGGCCCGGAAAAAGGTGGGGACACACCTGCAACGCCATTAGAGGAGGAAAGCTTTTGTATGTGTTTGGTGGTTATGGCCAGAACAATTCTCAGACTAACCAAGTTCACGTTTTTGACACTGGTGGGTGGGTCTTTCTCTCTCCTCTTTTTTGAATTTTTTTTTTGAATTTTTGTTTCAATTTTGTTCTGGGAATTCTTTTTATGCTTGTAATTTTTCTGGGTATTTGTTTAAATTTAAATTCCTAACGTGGGTATTTGTTAATTTATGTAATTAATTGGAATTATGTTGTTCATAGTTAATTGTAATGTACTTATGTGTTTTTTGTGGAATTGTGGTGGCTATGTTGTTACTTTTTATGTTTCTTGTTCAATTTTGCTGCATTGGTTATGCTTGTTTTTATCATCTGCCAAACGGGCTGTTAGGTTATGATTTTGAAATACCTATTTTGAGAGAATGTAATACTACTACTTGATAAATTCAATTGTTTATTCTTGTTGGCTGGAATTGTGTTTGGAAGTAAGTGCATGTTAATTATTGCTGGTTCCAAGCCTTATTTTCGGGTTGAAAAAAAAACAAACGCTTTGCAATACGCCAATACACGATTTAACGATATGTTGCTTTGTACATTTGCCTTTTTCTTACCATACCCTAGATGGGAGCTTGTAGGCATTGGAGTAATAGTATGGTGTTGGAGCAAATTTTCTTACCATATCCTTGATTAGTAATGGCTCATTGGGGGTGAATTTCGGTTAATCAGCTCAAATCTAAGGTGAAGGTCGTTGTAGCTGAGTACTTGCATTGCCAAACTTATTTATGCTCCAAAATCTTAAGTGAGTGCTGAAGCAGATATACTTTGGCATCTCAAAGTCAAAATGTACAGTTTGATTAGTGTGTGTATTTCTAATCTCATCCTGTTTTAGGTGGCATTGATAATATCATGATATTTTCATACGAGTAACGTCTAACATGTATGGATTCAAGTGTATTCAACCTAGCTCCAACATCTCTATATTCTTTCATTATTTCTTTTCATGTTTTTCTTTTTCATTTTTTTAATTCTTCATATTTATAAACTTTCCCTTATGTTCTTCTTGAGGTTTCTTCATCATCTCATTTGTGCTGTTGGTTGTAGATACTCAAACGTGGAGTGAGCCAGCCATTAAGGGAACTCCGCCATCTCCTAGGGACAGTCATACTTGTACAACAGTTGGAGACAATCTGTTCGTGTTTGGTGGGACAGATGGGATGAACCCCCTTGGAGACTTATATATACTAGACACTTGTAAGTTCAAGTGAAAATTATATTTGTCTTTGTTTCTTTTGAAATTTCATGTATTCGATGGAAACAATAAAATAGGATATAAAATTTTTAGATAGCTAAATTGAATCAAGTACATGCTAGTTATGTTTGATGTAATGCTCTTAAGGATATTACTTTCCCTGACTATTGTATCCAAAATCTACTGGCCTGGAGAGTAGCTAATTGATATGGTCAAACACTCAAGAAATAACTATTGTGAATTTTCAAATGGCTCTTTCATAGCTTTAAAATTTTGGCAAACTTTTACATGTGAAATTTATATAGTTTCCACATAAAGACAGTATTATGATGATTTGTGTATCTCTACGTATCCCAGTAGTTTTATGCTTATCAGCAATTTAGAGAAGAGGGACTGACATCTTATATGATTTTGTTATTGGATGCACAGTTTCATTATATTTATATGTGCATGAATTTTCTGAGTGGACTCTGTTAACAGAAGGGAATTTGTATAACCAACTTATGGGTTATGTGATGTATCCTTGTTTGCTAATCTTGCATCATAGGTTTATGCATGAGGCTTTCAATTGTCTCGCTCCTAAGTCTTAACCAGTATCAAATTTCTTATTGAGAAATACTACCTACTTCCAGAGGTTTATTTATTTATTCATATAATTTTTGTTTTGGGCTGAGTGACTATTGCGTCAAGGTATTGGCACTTGATGTTTCTTTGCTAATGTGGTCCATACATTTGCAGCATCAAATACATGGATTTCTCCACATGTAAGGGGCGATGGACCACAGGCAAGAGAAGGCCATTGTGCATCCCTTGTTGGAGAACAACTTTTCATTTTTGGTGGATGTGGCAAATCTGTGAACCATCATACTGAAGTGTATTATAATGATCTTCATATATTGAATACAAGTAAGCCCTTTGCTTCTAATTTCTCAAGTGAAGTCTCCCTCAATAAGTCAATAGTAACATCTTGCAATGACTTAAAAAAATAAATAATAGTTAAAAAAAAAAAAAGCAAAAAAACAGAGATAATATCTATAGGCTATGTTATTCATACTCTTTATTTCACCTCAAGTACCCGTGTCGGACTTTCGACACTTGGACACTTCACTTTTAGTTCAAGGATTTTTTTCATGGACATGGGTACAAAGGTCTGTTAGGCTGGAAAGTGACAACTGAATGAAGAAATGATATTAATTACCTTTCCTTCTAATTGCAGAGAACTTTGTATGGCAATGTGCTACAACATCTGGCAAGCCACCGGCTGCACGAGATAGCCATTCATGCTCATCTTGGAAGAACAAAATCGTTGTTATTGGCGGTGAAGATGAGCATGATTATTATTTATGCGATGTTCACATCCTTGATACAGGTTGAATTCTTTTCCTGAATTACTTGAGGTTACAGCGTTACACAATAGTTCAATATAGTGGACCAATTATTCTTAATGACTGGCGACTGGATTATTCAATACAGCAGAAATTTATGCTAGTGTCATTTTACCTTTCTCTAAAAAAAATGAGAAAGAATACACCATGCTGCATGATTATGTAAAGAACCATGGCGGTTTATTTTGGCAGCTAGCCAGTCTAATAGAAACAAAGTATAATAGGTTATTAAAATTAGTTTGTTACTGTGGACAAACATTTCTTTTCTTATTATTTTGGGCCTTCTTTGTTTCCTATGCATATGTTCATGTTAGAAAGGAGGGAGAAAGTAGTCTTACACTGGTGGTCATTTGTTGAAACAGATACTCTTGTTTGGAGAGAGTTGAATACTTCTGGCCAATTGTTGCCTCCCCGTGCTGGGCACTCAACTGTGGCCTTCGGCAAGCACATATTTGTATTTGGGGGATTCACTGATGCTCAGAACCTGTACGATGATCTTTATACGCTTGACATTGGTAAGAATATTTTGTTCTTTTGTCCCTCTCAATCACTGTACCTTTTTTTTTTTTTTTTTTTTTTTTTTTTTTTTTTTTTTTTTTTTTTTTGAGGTGTAAGAGAGCCACAAATGGTAGTGAAGTTTATGGGACCTATCCCAATCCTTTACCCATAAGCTAGCTCACATTCACATCAAATTCACAATTTGGCTGTTCATGTCATCTTATTCTCTGAGGGAGCTGTTGATCTTATCAGCTGCACCACTTTCTTATCTACTGTAATGCCTACTGCCTAGAATTCATGAAAAACTGCTGCTTTTCCTTTCTTTATTGCTTTTTTTTTTTTTTTCCTTATACAGTATAATCACTGTTTTATGTAATAATGCTATCTTTTTATTGTAATTGTGTCATTTGTGTGCTCAACTCATTGCTCTTTTGAATTTTTTTCCAGATACTGGTATCTGGACCAAAATTATGCCCAGTGGTGATGGACCTTCGGCTAGATTCTCCATGGCTGGTGACTGTTTGGATCCATCAAAAGTTGGTGTTTTGGTGTTCATAGGTGGTTGCAATAAAAATCTGGAGGCTCTGGATGATATGTACTTCTTCCACACAGGTCTTTACATTTCTACTCTTTACTTAAATATGTACGCATCGTTATATGTTATAACAATACTCAGTTAATGGTAATTTAAACTTTCACCAATTAATATGTATATGGCAGCATGGAGCTGATTGCATTTATTTTTTGATACTAGAACTTTTTAGGGATGATGGAAGAGATGAGCGAAGGTCAGAAAAATTGTCTTTCAGAAAACAACTGAAGATGAAGTGTCAACAACAATATGTTGCTTCTTCAGAGAACGATAAGGCTATAGTCGCATATGAGGCAGCTGATCTTAGCTCACCAATATCTGTGCCATACGGTAGCCAACAAAGTAAGACAACATATATGCAGTATTTTATTATATGTATCTAGTTAAACGTAACAATATATGCCACCATTCTCTGTGCCATACAACAGTCAACAAGATAGAAATATGTGATGTCATTGCTTATTTAAGCATATTTCTCAAATTTCATGAACTTAATCTTCATGCTTGGGCTCTAGTCGTGCAATGCTCATATAGCGGATAACTGCAATATGATGATATTAGCCAACTTTAATCGATATATATAAAAGATTAAAAGTATTCCATCCATAAAAACCTTGCTAGTTAATATTGATGCATAGGAGTTGGAGTATATCATGTTTATCATAGGATAAACACAATCAAAATGGATGAAGGCATGAAGCCCATTAGCATCAATTCCTTCAATCTTTATACGTAGTATATGCTCGTGAAAGGATCCACATGAATTAGGGTTCATCTGTAGTACTGTGACATGTTCACATTTATTGGATTACTAGGTTCTTGATTTCAGATCTTTCTGCTCTCTCCCCACCCCCTTCCTTAAACTCTGAATGAGTATAGGCCTCCACTCAGCGGCCTGTCACAGACAAAGGGCTGAGTTGAAAGCAGCAAGACCTTCATTGAGTGACATTTTCTTTTTTCTTTTCTTTTCTTTTCTTTTCTTTACTTTTTTTTTTTTTTTTTTTTAATTTTATTTTTTATTTTTTATTTTTTTAAATCCCTGGCATGGTGTCTGGTAACAATATAGTTGTTTAGGATTGCATTGGCTTTGTTAGGGTAGATTTTGAAACCAATGAATGTGATTGAGATTGTATATATTTATTGAAGTCTAATGGGCAATGAGCATCACAGAAGTAGGATCATAGTTCCTGGGGCTGTCTCCATATTTGTCACTGGAGCAGCATTGGGTCTATATCAACAGCTGGCCTTTCTTTGCTTTTTTTTTTTTCCTAAGCCACCTTAAAGTCCAGACCTTTTGTAGAGGCTCCCATACATGATAAGATCAATAGTTAATGCAATAAGTGCTGAATTCTAGCTGCATAAGGATCGGAAATGACATTATGTGATGTGACATTTATATGGTGTATAATTATCTCAAATCTTATAATATGTGACCCCGGAGACAGTATAGGTGAGCTTGAACACTCATAATGTCCAATGGTGTGGATTAGTTTTTTCCCCAATATTCAATTCACTTAAATTTCTAATTTCTTACTATCACTGTACTACTTATGACTTCAAATCTTCTGTTGTCATAGTTTGCTGATGATATGATGTACCCTTTTCCTGCATATTACCTGATGATTCCACGAAGATTTTCTTTTTCTTTTGTAAATGCAGACATGTATTCTTGATTTACAGACAATGAGCTATTGTGCAGGTCAGCAGTATTTCCATCTAAATATGTACCGACCCCCAATAGGGAAGAGAACATTTCAAGCCAAAGTTACTAAAAACTTTGCTAGTGGATATTCTATTGAAACCATTATTGACGGAAAACCATTGCGTGGGGTTCTTTTTTCAACTTCTGTTGAAGCTAACCTTAGCTTGCATGGGTGAGGTTCTAGCAGTTTTTCTTCTTCTATAATTTCTTCTTTATCTTGAAGTTGTTTTTTTTTTTTTAATTTTTTTTATATATTTATTTATTTATTATTTTTAATATCTACTCATGGTGATTACTGTTCAGGAAAAAGGACTCTGAAAATGTCAAGTCCAAGGTAAATGAAAAACAGGGTCCTATTACAATATCTCCAACTATTCATGAGTCTATAGAACCTACCAATGCATCGGTTTCTAAAATTGCAGAGCATTCAGATGTGAGCCAGTCACAGGAGGTTAGTTTATATGTTGCCGTCAGAAAACTGAAAGCTTGATCACTTCCCTACCCTAGTTTAGATTAATTATGCATCTAATAAAATGTGTTGTATGTTTGCTGCTTCACCTCATCCTTCAGTCACATAAGTCTCTTTCTCTCATACACAACACATTGTTCTATTGAGTCTGAAAACATCCTTGTGTGGTTGTGCCTTGTCCTTGATGATTCTTTCACCTGTTTAAAAGGCATTCTAATTAGAGTTTTCTTCACTATGAGATGGGCAATCAACGATAGTTGTATGACTGTATGAGACAGGCACTGCTGCAATACCAGATTGTAAAGCTTCAAAATTAGCAACAGGTGTTAGGAAACAAATGTATAAATTGAGAAGTGTGCCTCTTTACATTTTAAAGCACTTAAAGAGTTCAGAGCTCAGATGAATAACTCTCACAGTTCATTTGCACTCACTTGATTAATTAATAACTGTTATGCTCATAGATTTTACCCATGTCAGAGAATATGATCTGTAGCTTAACGGGCTATCCTGCTTTACTACCTGCCCGGCTGCCCTTATCACAATACTCTTGAGGAATAAGAGGCTCATTTGGCAAATCAATTAGTTTATCACGCATTCATGCCTATCCATTCATATTGCACTTTGGACTTAAAATAATTATGTAATCAATTCACAAGTTGCAACAATTTAAATACTTGGCTTATTACCATGCTTTCATAAATTATTGAGTTAAGGTGTCTAGATAACTGTTATGTGTTTTTGACCTGTGCTCTTCTGCTTGAATGATTATTCAGGTAGAAATTAGAGAGTCGAAAACATTAGAAGCGAATGTTGAAGTCAAGAAATCAGATGGAGCTGCAGCCCCATCAGATTCAGCTCTCTTGGATAATCCATCTTCAATACCTGAGGGCTCTGTTGTGTTACCTACTAGCCAAGGTAAGCTTGTTTTCCAAGTTTTTGTAAGAAAAGTTTCATGTATGCAGAACGAGTCTTGATGAAGAGAATTCTTGAGTGGCTGTTCTAGAAGAGCTTTAATTTCTAATGCTTACCCTGTTATCACCAATTTTCCAGGCTTAGTTTCTAAATTGATAATTCTTAAAATCTTTTTCTTTTTGGGAGTGGACAATTTATTTCAAAGGGATAGCAAACATCAGTAATTAGTTAATCCCCACTGGCCATATAATACGATGCAACTAGCGTCACGGATCAGCAGATGAAGTAGAATTTGGTATTGCCTTTTGAAACCTTGGAAGCAGATTTTTTTTACCAGAGCTTGCTTACGGATTAATTTTTTATTTTTTATTTCAAACCTTGGAAGGATATTCGGACTCTGATTTGCTTCTCCCACTTTGCCTTTATTCCTATAGAGTAATAATGATTTCAAAGCATTCATAGCATCCCATTTCACAGATGTTCAACTGATGCCCAATCAATGTTGCATATCAACAATATTGATTCTAGCCCAGTTAAATGCTTCTAGTCATGATGGATTGTACTTTTTCTTTATTTTTACGTTTTTTGGAAAGAAATCGCTCAAGTTGTGGTGGACTGGTGTTTTTTATAATTTAAATATCAGCGTTCTCTATTATGTATCTTGGATTGACACTAGTGAATGACTTTTTCCCTGATAGTGTGTCTTCTATTTTCTTTATGTTTATAGCAGAGGGCCAGATAGAGTTTGCTGAGACAACATGAAGCTAGACTAAAAGCTTTTAAAACTAGTTTTGACATTGGGCGGAAACCATTTTTTGCGGTTAGTATTTGGGCAGTTATCGAGCTTGAAGACTGCTAAACTAGACTAGAAGCGCTCCAGGAATGGCAGTTTTTTGCACATGCAAAAATTTCTTCTGGGGTCGAATTTTTTATTTGTGTCGAAGAGGTACATATATTACCAGCTAATTGTACATCCATCATAGCTTGAAGGTGATCATAGACAGCTGACAGATGACAACTGCCACAAATTGATTGTAACTTCTTCACATTAGTATCATTTTAGAAGACAATATTACATGCATAGTACTAGAATATGCAAATTCAAGTGACATTAAATTGTAAAGTGATTCTTGAATGAGTATTTTACCTTGACAATCAAGGGCTAGTTGTGGCAGTTAGTTTGAATAGAGGTGCATCTTTCTGTCATGATGTGTTTACTTGTTTGTTTGTGTCATTCTTGATTACCAAATTTCTGTTAAACTAACTCGACTAAGAGTGTATTTGTTCAGCAGTGATTTGTCTAGTCTTATGAAATGCTCTGCATTTGACAATCATGAGAAATACAACGTAAATTTAAAGATGTACTCCGTACTTCATAAGAGGCTATTTGCTAAAATACCTATACGTATTCACCTCTAGTCACTAGCATCATCTATGGAGGTTAGACTGTTAGAGGCTTAGAGCATCTGCATTGGTTGGAAACTTGGAAATTTAGCTCTCCATTTGACAAAAAGTAAAAGTGGGGATCTTCCCACCAATGGTCCAAACACTTTAATTTGGGAGGTTAATAATATTGGAACCCTCCCAATATGAAAGAGTGGGGTCCTTTTTGAGTGTAACTAGGCGTATAGCTCTTATATGTTTAGAATGCATATAGCCATATAGGAGGGTTAATTGGTAAATTCATTTAGTTTTTGAGATTTTTTTTTTTGCTACAGTGGTATGTTTAATATACCATTATACTTGCAGTGGAATTTTTAATGTACTTCTAGAGTATAAGCTATTTTAGTAGTACTATTTATAGCTATTTTAGGTGACAGTGGTACAAACACTGGAAAAAAAAAGGAAAATTTGTCAAAAATAAGCCAACCTTTGTCCGGTTCGCTTAAAATAAGTCAACCTTTCGATTAACTCAGAATAATTCAACCTTTATAGGGTATTAACTTTAAATAAGCCAAAACCTGTTGTAACCGGTTATTAAGGTTAATTGTGACACGTGTTAGAATATGATTCGTCATTTTTCTATTAATAATTAATTAGGATATATTATATGATTAATTATAAAAAAAGAACTAATAATTATAAATTTCAAAAAAAAAATAAAAAAAAAAAAGGAAAAAACCCCAACCCCCTCACCCTCCCCTGCTAGCTCACCCCCCTCCCGTACCAGGCCGCCAGTAGCCGGCAACCACAAATTCCCCGGCGCCGGCACCGACGGCCTCTCCACCCACCCACGACGCCCCCACCCTTCCCCTTCCCTTTCCTTTCCCCTTTCCCCATCCCCCTTTCTCCACCCCGTTACCCCCTTCCTTCCCTTTCCCCACCGTCAATCAACACCCCAAAACCCTTGAACCCCGAACTGATTTTGTTAGGGTTTCATTAGGGTGGGTTAAAGGGTTTGGGGGGTCGACAGATGGTAAGGAAGGGGAGGGAGGGGTCGACTTCTACAGGGAGACGGGGGAGGGGGGTTGTTTCCGGCAGGGGGTGAAGGGGAGGGGGTGGTGTCGTGTCGGGGTGGGGAAAGGTGAATGGGGAAGGGGAAGGAGTGGGGTTAGGTGGGAGCATCGTGGGTGGGCGGTAGAGGCCGTCGGTGTCGGCGCCGGGGAATTTTGTGGTCGCCGGCCACCGGCGGCCTGGCAGGGTAGGGGGGGTGAGCTGGGTTTGGGATTTTTTTCTCTTTTTTTTTAAATTTATAATTATTAGATTTTTAATAATTAATTATATAATAATTCCTAATTAATTATTATAAGAAAAATGACGAACCACACGCTGACACGTGTCACAATTAACATTAATAACCGGTTAATAAACGGTTGCAGGTCAATTGACTCATTTAAAGTGGATATCTTATAAAGGTTGGATTATTCTGAGTTAATCGAAATGTTGGCTTATTTTGAGCGAACCGGACAAAGGTTGGCTTATTCTTGACAAATTTTCCAAAAAAAAAAAAATCCACCACTCTTTTGTCGTATAACTGCTATTTACTTGATATATAAATAGCAGCTATGCGCCAATACTTAACCGTCCTTTTTTGTTTTTGTCTGCCACCATCATCAAGCAAGGTCATTTTCCTTTCTTTTTTTTTTTTTGCCTTTGTGGGATACTTTAAAGTAGGAGAGAGAAAAGGCGGTAGGGTATGGAAAAACAAAAGAGAGAAAGTAAATGGGGAGGTTAATGAATGTAGGTTCAGTAGGTATGAAAATGTAAAATGAAAAGGAAAGGTATGTAAAGAAGTTAGTGAGAAGTTATGTGGACTAATGAGGTGTGGAGAGAGAAATTATAGGGAGCCTAATGAATGTGGATGCTCTTATATATTCAAAATTATACTTGACCAAATAGACATAAATTTAAAGGAAAATTTGTTCCCAAAAAGCTTTTAAAGTAATTTTTTTTGTTCAGGCAAATCTTTTTTAAAAAAATTTGGCTAGGAAAAACCTGTTTTAATTTTTTTTTTTTTGTTCTGGAGAATCAGGTGGGACTTTTCGACGTTGACTCTAGGCGTTGACCACCCTTGCTTTTTCCCACATGTGCATGTCTAGAGATGGCAATGGATCGAATTTAGATCGGGTGGAGCTTCACCCACATCCATCCATTATCCTAATTGCTCCATCCACATCCATCCGTCATCCGCTTCACCCATCATCCATATCCGTCCGTCCATCATCCGCGGATGAAACGGGTGGAGCGGATGACAAATGGATGAGTACTAAAATGAAAAAAAAAAAAAACTCAGATAAAATTTAATTTTCGGTTATTTATATAATAATTTTTTTAATTTATTAATAAAAAAGAAACAATAACAACATATTGTTTGAAAAATTAATTTGCAACAAAAAAAAAGACAAGTAATTTTCTTACACATTCTATATTCTATTAGTAAAATTCTTTGATTAAAAATTTAATATATGTTAAATGGATGGGTGGATGGTTAGCGGGTGAAAAAAATATCATCCACATCCGATCCGATCCATCATCCGCTTCATCCGTCACCCGCTTCTCATCCATTTAATTCGGGTTTTCGTCCATTTATTTTAAGCGGTGGAGCGGGTTAGCGGATATCCACTTAATATTGCCATCTCTATGCATGTCACATTCCTCCTATTTTTCTAATCACACCCCCTTTTCCTAATTCCACTCTATTTTAGCTAATAGTAGTATACATGATTATTAGGTCAAGTGAATCAATGAATTTGTATGACTTTAACAAAACATCAAATACCTACTAACAATATTGAGAGCTTATTGCTAGAACTAGCTTTTGAGCCCTACCTATGCACGGACTATGCATAAGTTATTAGTTATGTATACTTAAAACTTTACAAATTACTTGAGTAACTTGATTTCATTGAGTCTTAACAATTATAACATTTTACAAACTGTTTAGGTTCTAATGCTTTATTATTGTAATTAATGCTTCTTTTGTTCTTAAGAGCTTTTGATATAACTAAAAAAATTATATTATATTGTTTTTGGGTTTGAAAAATAAAAGTACTAATGAATTAGTTTGGAAGAATCCGCATAGTATGATTTATAAAAAAAGAATGTGAAAAGAGTCGACATAGTTTGTGCGTTCATTTGCTGACTAATTGTCGGTGATCCCTTATAATTGTTGTATGTTTGCAAGTTTCAAAAGCCTAGCAAAATAATAGCAAGATCAATCTTTTAACAAATAATTAGCAGAACAATACTTGTAAAAAAATGGCTTAATTATTATGAAATCAAATTCTTTAATTACAGTGTAGTTACTCAATATTTTTTTTTTTTATCAAAAAGCTAAATACCAAACCCTTGTTGTAATTTACATTGAATCAAATATATATTAAATTATAAAATTCGTATTTACCAATTTTTTTTAGAGTGCGTTTAATATCTTGAAAATAACGGCCCTATGACATGCAAGGAATGCCATATATACTATGGAACATATTTCATTTTCTTGAATGAAAAATCAATTCTTCCTTCTTTGTAACATCAATTTACATTTTTTTTAAATCAATCTCTCTCTCTCTCTCTCTCTCTCTCTCTCTCTCTCTCTCTCTCTCTCTCTCTCTCTCTCTCTCTCTATATATATATATATATATATATATATATATATATATATATATATATTTGGAATTAGGTGATGTGAAAAAAAAACTTTATTGAAAGTTTGTATTTATATTATGAGATTAATAGGGGGAAGATAAGGAGCTAAATAATTGAATGCAAATGTGACTAATTCAATTGAAAGATGGAGGGAGAAGAGGAGAAAGTTAAGAAATTCAATTTGTTGAATTAAAGAAGTTGCAAAATATAAATACTAGTAGTTGTTAAGAAATCCAATGAAAAGATTAATTGGACTCATGGAAAAGGTTACAAGGAAAGGAAGACATGTGGAACTTTGGTTTGTGATTTTAAATGCTAATACTAACTAACTAATAAAGCATAGATAGATTAATCGGATTAAAAGAAATAAGGTTTGGATTATTGTCAATTTTTCATGTTAAATTAACTTTTAACACGTACTCTAGAAGTTAGGGGTTTTGGATTTAAGCTACATATATATAAGCATTTGATATACTTATTTTCACGAATAAATCGGTGTAATAAGTGTTAATTATTCAATGTCTATTGTTTTCACTTTTAGTTTCTTTCCTTAATTTAAAAATAATATCTTTTTCACATGAACTTACTTATTAGCCTAGAGTAGAGCTAATTACTTCTAACTATTTTTAATGACAGGATCAAATTGGTTGTGTTATGATCGAATATGGGTAAATTGTTCAGGACGAGTGAACTTTTGATAGCTTTATGTCCACAATTCCACATGATTAGATCTAATTTATAGGTGAACATAATACATCCTTTAACGCCTAGTGCTTATAAATCAATGTTTTGGACTTGTAGGACAACTTTCTAATTATTTTAAAATAATACAATGTTTGGATAGTATCACTTTAAAAGGTTGTGACCGGTTGGTAGCCCGATCAACAGGTTAAGTGTGACACTTGTCACTATTTGATTAGTTAGACTTTTTTTTTTACGATTTAATTATTAAAAAAAAAAAAGAAATTTTGACATTTGCTACTTGGAAAAATGCCTCGATTCACATTTGCTACCGTTTTAATTTATTTTTTAATTTATTTTTTTTTAATTTTGCTACCACCTAAATCAGAGTTTGTTAGAAATTACTACCCAATGCCTTACACTGTAACAAGTTCCGTTAGTGGGGTCGAACCGCTGTCTAGCCACCCCCTCCCTTTCTACCACCCATGAAGCCAACCCCCCTCCCTTCCCCCACCACGAAGCCAACCCCCCTTTATTTCCCCCACCCACCGAAGCCAATCCCCACCGAATTCAGCCCCCTCCCTGTTCCCTCCATTGGAATCGACCCCCTTCCCCTTCTCCTACCCTTTTCGACCACCCCTAACCCTAAACCACCACCCCAAAAAACACCATGAGCGAAACCCTAAAAACCATTAAGGGTGGTTTGAGACTGGTGGGTTTTGGTTAGGGGTGTCAGTTATAGGGTGGGGGAAGGGGAAGGGGGTCGCTTTCGATGGGGGTAACGAGGAGGGAGGCTTATTTCGGTGGGGGGCTGGCTTCGTGGGTGGTGGGGTTTGGCTCCGTGGGTAAGGAGGAGGGGGGTTGGCTTCGTGGGTGGGGAAAAGGGAGGGGGGTGAAGTCACCGGCATTGGCCAAATCTTTTGGCGTCGACGCAGGAAGGGGGGAAGGGGAGGGGTGGCAGTTGAGGGGAGGGGGTGGCAGTCGGGTGGCAGGGTTTTTTTTTAAATTTTTTTTTAATAAACTTAACCGTTAAGTGGTAGTAATTTCTAACAAACTTTGATTTAGGTGGTAGCAAAGTAAATTTTTTCTTTAAAACGGTAGTAAATGTGAATCAAGGTGTTTTTTCTGGTAGCAAATGTCAAAATTTCGTTAAAAAAAAATAATTTTAATTTACATAACTTATTAACCCATGATTAACGCATGCCACTTTTGAAACAGATTACCAACGGTTATAACCTATTTAAGATGGATACCATTAAAGGTGGTATTATATTATGATACTTCGTAATGAAAAAGTCCTCTTATTTATAAAAGACCGGTCAAATATCGTATTATTATTGATTAATCGAATTTGAGATCGAATTCATATTACCTACTTAGATTAGACCGTGATGAAAAAAGGTCATCTTATTTATGAAAGACCGACCAAATATCGTATTATCATTGATCAATTGAATTTTAGATCGAATTCATATTACCTAATTGGATTAGATTGAATGGAAGTCGTTGGCACGTCAGATTGAAGTGGACTTACAATCCAAAAACGAATATAAATTGGACTCGATCAACCAAATCCAAACCGAAAATCGAACTTCCAATCTCTTACCCTTACCTTGTCATATTCAAAGTCTCAAACCTTAGTGTGAAGAGTAAAAAAACAAAATAAAAAAAAAATTATCAATTGCAATTTCTTTGAACTAAAAAACTCACCCCCTTCCAATTTATGCAGTAAAATTGAGGGCAACACAATCTAGCCATTGGAAAAGAGTTTCATGTTAACAATACAAATCATAATTTCTACTGCACACCATTCATCTTTTTAGGGATTTTTCCGACCCTCAAAAACCCTAATCCTTTCCTTCCAATTTCAAACTTTAGGGTTTTCTCCCAATTACTCGAATTATCAGCTGCTCGTTGCTATGCGGTACGTTTACCATTTTGTTTTCGCCTTTTCGATTCGTTGAAGCTAAGAATTATTACATTTATGGTCTTTTGTTGGTGCTAATTTTTTTATATTTTGTTCGAATTTGAAGCATTTAGAGTGCGGTTTTAGATGCTTGTGGAATTGATTATTTATTTGTTTATTATTATTATTATTATTATTTTCATGCAATTTCGTATAGAATAATTGGGGATTAGAGAGTGAGATTAGTTTTTGCTTGTTGTGTACTGAGTGAATTTAATTTTAAAATTGTTTGGCTGAATTTTTTTAATTTAATTTGAAAGTTTTTTTTTTTTTTTTTTTTTTTTTTTTTTTTTTTTTTCCTTTTTGTGTATAAATTGAAATTTGGCTTCTAATTGTGTTTGTATGAGTTGTATTTAATAATTAATGCTGCCATAGCTGTGAAGATATCAACACTTGAGTTCTTTCCCTGCTTATGAATTTTGTGGTTTTCTTGTTGCGATATTCGAAATCGTGCAAAATGTAATTGATTGTCTGTTTAGTGAATCTCTGTTTTCCTTAGTTGGTGAAATGATACTTTTGCTGTTGGGTTTGTAATAATATACTACCATCAAGAAAGTTGTGATTTTCTTGTTGCAGGGACTTGTAATTTGGCACAATTCAAAGATTGTGGGGGATTTATTTATAATTGCAATTTTCTGAGTAATAGTAGTAATAGGCTATGTATGGTCGAGGAAATTATGCTCCCCGGTTTGGGCAAGGTCTTCAAAGACCAATGGCACCTTATCAGCAACAACTTGCTGGTCATCCTTCAGCTTCACTTTTCCAGCCAGGGAATGCCGCTCCCTTGCAACCTGTAATTCAACAAGGTGGACCTCCTCATGGAGTTCCACCTCGTGGGCCTGCCTATTTAAATGCTCCTTCTGCTCCACCAAGCATGCCACATCAAGGTCCTCCAGTTTCTACTTCGAACACTGGTCAGCCTTACATGCATCGACCTCTAACAGGACATAGTGGAGCCCCTGCTCAACTTCCTTATCTAGCTACTCAACAAAATTTTGTTTCTGGAAGTCCCAATCCCAATCCTCCCCCTCCTCCACCCCCTTCTATGGGTCATCCTAGAGCTCCACCACCACCTCCTTTTATGCAACTTCCACCACCGCCCCCACAGGCCCCACCACCCCCAACAGCTGCTGGTCATTTCTCCCCTGCTAATTTTGACTCTGCTAATCAACAAAGCTCAGAGTCTCATATGTCTTCCTTAGGCCCCCCACCACCGCCTCTTCCACCCTCTCCCCCACCAAGGGCTCCACCTCCTCCATCAGCCTGCTCCTCATCTTCTCCTGGAAAGTTTTCTACACCCACAAATACAGCTTCTGTGTCACCAACGCAATCAGGTCATGATTCCATTTCTGAACAAGTTCTTGTGTCTGAATCTAGTGGTAATGTCACCACTCATAGTCACAAAAGTGGTGCCACTCCAATTTCTGATGAGGATGAATCATTAAAACAAAGTGTTTTGCTGGATCTTCCTCCCCCACCACCTAAGCCAGCGGATGAGAATGTTGTTCGTAATATTGAAGTCCTGTGCCAGTTTATTGCTAAGAATGGGCCGGAATTTGAAGAAATGGCTTGTAAAAAAGAATATGGAAATCCAGAGTTCAACTTTTTAGTTGGAGGCGATCCGGGAAGTGAAGCTTCATGTGCACATGAATATTTCTTGTGGATGAAAAAGAAATGTGGTCTTGTAAATGATTTGCACAAAGTTCAAGGCCGGAGAGATTTGTCTCATATGTATGGTGATTGTGAGCCCTCTGCAGGACCTAATTCTGTACCCAATGTGAGAACATCTCAATCACCTGCAGATTCTGATGTGGACATGGAAGGTTAGTGCCAATTTTATAGCGAATGTGTTTTATTAATTCAAAAATAAAGGTCCTGAGTTTCATATTATCACGCTTTGACTATATATTTTTTTTCATCTTAATTAAGATCATTTACTTCTGTAATGGTTGGAACTTATCATTTATGTCAACTTTCTTGAATGGGGAGGAAATATCCTCTCTGTCCTACCTTAGTTTTGACACTTAACATGACACATAGTTTTAACCCTTTTAGGTGATAAGCTTGATTGTCAATTTCTGTTTTACAAGAAAGCAGATGTGAATAGAGATAATGGGCTATTATTTTACAAAAAAATTAGATGTGATAGAAGACTGTTTTTGAGTGTGAGAGAGCGTGAGGCCCTAACTTTTTGGTAATTGAAAAAGAGATTATTAATGATATTGGGGCCTTTCCTGAAATAGAATTGTAAAAACTAGTCTTTAGATGAAAAAGGGAAATTATAAAACATGGGGAGGATTGGGTACAGAGGCAGTACATTAAATCTAATTGGCTTAGTAAATGATGATAGTGATTGGTTTATGCAAAATTGCTACCTAAACTTCAAAGTTATCTATATGACACAATCGATGAAGCACTGAAGCAGTCACCTCAGGGCTTATTTAATTTTAGTTCTGTGTTTTAAACTAATTTTTGTAGTTGATGTTGTAGTGTGCTTTGTACCTTAAAGTGATGGTCTTCCATGTGTTTTGTCTAGCATTGCATGTTTTGAAATTTGGCAATCATATTTTATGTTGTGGGTATGATTTCTCCTTTGGTCTTCAGTTTTTCATCTTACATCTTTTTAATTCTAGGATAAGTGTTTCATTATGTTCCCTTGTTTTTTTTTTTTACTTCCCTTCCCCAAAGTTGTGCATATGATGGTTTTATTTCACATCCACATAATGAAGCAATAACTCTCCTGGCGATTAAAGTTTTGAGCATAAACATAGTGTAGTATTTAATCTACTTTGTAGTGTTACTACTGCATGAACTGAGAAGTGCATGGAGATTGTTGACTACTATTGATGCCCTGGATCTTGTTTTATGATGTGGTTTGATTTGTCCCACACTTCCGCTATGGCCACTAGACTACTGCTTACTATGTCTTATAATTTTCCTTGTCATATGCTCCTCCATTGTCTGCGCTTATTAGATTGTAATGGCTGATGTTTGAGTAGCTTGGGTATTGTTTTTTTTTTTATTTTTTATTTTTTTATTTTTTTATTTTTATTTTTTTATTTTTTATTTTTTTTATGTAGTCTTTGCTCTCTTATACAAGTACTTTTTATTTTTCCAAGTAATTTAGTTATATTTAGAGTTAAAACTTAGGTTTCCTTGACATCCAAATAAAAACAAATTAGTTGACTTCGCAATTCCACCGCGGCACCGCCTTGTCAAGTGACCAAACCATGGTGGCCACTTTCTCCAAGTCGTATATAGGAGTGTCTATAACAGTGTTACCAGATTCGTGGTTCGCTTCGGTACATGGTATGGATACGGGTTCGTGGCCTGGTCGATTTGGGGTTTGCTAGATTTTTTTATATAAAGATTATTTTTTCATATATAAAATAAGTAATGCAGTTATTTTATAAAATGAATACAACTCTATAAGTTACTCTTATAAAAGAAAGTAAAAAGGGGATAGCCAGCTGGAAAAGATGGTGATCAAAATAATAAAAAAAAAATTACTTATTGACCGGTCAAATTATCTACTTGCCACATGTTTTTCTCTCTCCTCACCACACCCTTCTCTTTAATCGATTTCTAACTCCCAGCCATTAGCAACATTATTCTCCCACCACTTCACTTCGGAATTTTTAGAAAGACTATCATGGGAATCCTCTTGCAAGGGCTACCAAAAACCCTAACATTTACACCTTTTCCAAAAATTAATGCGCAACCCTTGACCTTTAATTGCTAAAACTAGGGTTGCGGATTCGGATGATGGTACCGGCATTTCGGTTTGCGAACTACACCAAATTGGGACGCGACGAACCACGAATTGGTTCGTGCAAACCCAATCGAGGTTCGTGGGGGGTAGGCGCAAATCTGGTAACGATGGTCTATACCTTTGGGTTTAGCTTGGTATACTGTCCCCATCCTAACCTAGGTGCTAATTTCCTCTAGGGAACTCTGAGGTAAAGGTTTTGACACTGAAACTCCTGTATGGATTGAGCTCTTTTATGAGCTTTACAGAAAAGATTGAAACTCCAGTACTGTCTTTATGAACTATCTGTTCCTTTATTTATATTTAGATTTTAGCGTAAACAGTTACCTTGGCACCCAAAATAATCAAATTAGTTGACTTGGCAATTCCGTCTCCTTGGCAAGTGACCAAACCACAGTGGCCACTTTCTATAAGTTGGTAGTGGAGGTAATTGGTTGTCTAGACTCTGTACCCTTGGGCTTAGCTCAGTATATTGTCCCCATCCTTCCTTAGGTGCTAATTCCTTCCTGAAATTATTCAAGATTTCTTATTGTTTTTATGAAACCTCTGTTTATTTATATTTAGATTTAAAACTTAAAAGGTTACCTTGGCACCCAAAAAAAACAAAAAAAAAAAAACAAATTAGTTGACCCGGTGATTCCACCGCCTTGGAAAGTGACCAAACCTAAATAGCCACTTTCTCCAAGTAGTGTAGAAGGTAATGATTTGTCTATACCTTTGGGCTTAGCTCGGAAATTTATTCCCATCCTTACCTAAGTGCTAATTTCCCCTAGTGAACTCTAAGATACCAAAACTTCTGCATGTTTTTAATATACTACCTCCGGTTCTCCTCCTGCCGAAGCGGAAATAGAAGAGTTTCCATATCAAGATGATCAGGTTACTCGCAACAAGGAGTATTATTTGTGAGACATAAAATATTCCTTTGATGTGAGTAATAAGAACCGGAGGTAGTAAATTCTTTTCTGAGATCTACTGAAATGATTGTAACTGAAAGAGGGGCGTGCAGCTTCAGCTTTATCTTACAGTAGGATGACAATTAGATTATTGAATTGGGAACTTCTTAATTAACTTGAGGTCTATGTCTAGCATGCTTGACTCTATCTGTGCTTGAAGTGTTTGAATGGCACATTTGAAATCACGTGGAGCAATTCACTTTGCTGGTCACTTTTTCAGGTATCTCTTTTGATAATGTTTGCATATTGGTTATTGTCTGCATTTTCTATCACATTGTGAACTGTGCTGTCTAATTCTGTCGCGGCATTCATTCACTTGATAAAATGCTTGAAGCTGGGGCAGAGTAGGTTTATTTATTTATTTATTTGTTCTTTGTGTCCGATTCTATTTTGATTCCTTTTGTTGATGATATTTTACCATTAGTACATGGTTTCTTAACAATTGGGAATTTGGTCTCTGCAGTTGGGCTATAGAATCTGATCTCTGATCGCCTTAATTTTCTATCCACAATTTTAAAGAGAATAAGCTATGGTATATAAACATTATAAAGGGATAAAATGACATTTTTCTCTTTAGATTGTTGCATTAATTTATTAATGCCTCCCTGTCTAGCTTTTAGTGATCATTCAGCCATTCTAAGGTTTCTATGAATTCTTTTGCATATCTCGTATAGTCTTATTATTATATATTACAATTGCCCTTCCTTTCTTAGAGGAGCCAACTAGTGGGTAATACTGGTCAAAATTTTTTCCTAGATAAATTTCTTATCATTTCAAATTTGAATTATTCTTATCAGAATGTTTATATATGCTTTGTTGCTATTGGATTGTGGCTTTTAGATGATATCACACAATCTGATAAAGAGCATGGAGTTAATCATTCAGTTGAAGATGTTGAGCCAGAGCCTGTTTTAGCTGGAAATGTGTATGAACCACAAATGCAAGAGAATGAAAATGATTTGCAGTGTTCGAGAGGTAACAGTCTTTCCCTAAAATCAAGCCCATCTGTCAAAATTAAAACTAGTGCTGAGATAAAGCCTGAAAAGCTGGGTGGTCAACCCGCTGATATCCATAGCCCATTCAGACTTATACAAAACTATGCATCTGATGATTCTTCTGATGATGATGGTAAGCTGTCTCGTGAAAATGTGAAGATCATGGCAGATTCACCGCATAGTAAATCTGGGGATTTAAGCTCACATTACGACTTGGAACATGGCAACATGAACTCAAAGAGCAGTAAGACACCTGAAACAGGACTGGATCAGTCTGTCACAACTTGTATTGAGAGTGCTCTGAATAAGGACCGAGATGATTTGCAATCAATTCAAGACGGTCTGCAGGAAAAACCAACTGCAGTTCTGTCCAGAAAATATGCAAGTGATAGCGTAGATGATAGGGTTGAAGGATCCAATCCGAACACTGCATTTCATGGAAAATATGTTTCTTCACTTAAAAATGCTGAAAAAGAAGATAAAAAGAGTACCCCTACAGCTGTAAAAGTTGATGAATTTGGCAGACTGGTTAAGGAAGGTGGTAGTGAAAGTGAGTCTGAAGATGCTCACCATATTCGAAGGCGTGGTAGAAGAGATAGGAGTCGTAGCCATAGTCGTAGCCGATCACCATCTGATAGGAGGAGGAAAAGAAGTCCTCGAAGAAGTCCTCGCAGGAGGAAGGAGAGAAGAGGCCGATCTAGAAGGTATATGTCTTGCCTTCTATAAAATGTTGTCGTTTTAGTAGGTAGGCATACTGCAATATGTATATATTTTCATTTTTTATTTATTATTTTGGCCTTGCATGTTTAATTGCCCCTTTGCATTTGTACTTTGGGTGCTGTTGGTTCATGAGATTGATCTTTGTATTGTTCCTGATGCATTAGCCGATCTCCAAAGAGACGAAGAAGTAGAAGCAGATCTCCTTACAGACCCGGAGGTGATTTTCGTGGTGAGAAATTGAGACGAGGAAATGTTCAAACACAGGAATGTTTTGATTTCCTTAAAGGACGGTGTTATCGTGGAGCTTCTTGTCGTTATTTGCATGTTGAGGTAGATAAGAGTGAATACTCCAGACGTTATAACAATAAACAACAGACAGAAAATGTGGGGAGTGTAGATAATCCTGGTAAACATGGTGGAAGTGCCAGCGTGAAATCACCTCATGGACATAATGATACAAAGGGTGAGAGAATGCAGTTGGATTTTGATAAGCATGAAAGTCGTGATTTGGCTTCACAAACATGTGATGATGAGAGAAATAAAGCAGAATTTGTAGATGATGCTGTGCGTCCCAGTGCTTCAGATGCCGAAAAATTCAATACAGATGTTAATCAATGTGCTGTTTCTATGAAGGAAGATCAGGTTTTGGGCTCATCAGGTGAACTCATTCCTCAGCTTCCTATATATGAGAAACATCCATTATCTAGCATGCCTTCAGCTACCGAGCAAGTGATCCATCTTTCTCAAGCTGCTGGAGCAAATGACAGACTTGAGGAAGAATCCCAAAAGACGGGCAGTTCTCCATTAGGGCTTTCTCTGAATGAGCCTAATCCGGTCAAAATGCCTAATGAATCTACAGTAAATGCTTCTGCGCCAGATTTCACTCATCAGGTTTCCCCCTTACCACCACCTCCCGTGCCTCAACAACCAACAAATACACCTCAAGTACCAAATCTGTTGGCTCCCTCAGTTAGTTTTCCTCCTCAATCTGTTAATATTGAAAGTGGTCCCTTATATCAAACTCCATTACCTCAGTCTCATTATCCTGTTCCTCTGAATCCTACATGGAATACCCTGCCGCAACCACGTCCATCACATATGGGTGGTGCATCTATGCCTGGTACTCACTTGCAATTTCAGCATGGTAATTTTCCTTTGAGAAATGACTTTCCAGGTCCGATGTCTTTGAGAGGCCACCCAGGTGAACTACCTGGTTTTTCTCAGGCTGGTGGATTTCCACATCATACATATCATTTACCTTCAAACAGCTTTCCAGCTCAGCCATTTTCTGGTCCCAATCTAGCTAGGGATGATATATATTCTCAGTTTCCTACGCAGAGCCTTGTACCTTCCAGCTCTTTTGTTTCTGGGGTGACCCCTCAACCTGGGTCATTCCAAGGAGATTTATCTGTAAAGAACGCTCAGTCATTTCCTGTGGAAAATCTTGCGAGTGAATCTTCAAAACAATCTTTCCAGAATCATCTGTTAGCACAGAAACGACCGCCATATGGTCCACATCTTACTGCTGTTGAGAGTAGTGTGTCTTCTCATCTTGGAGGGTCTAAGTCCATGCCTGGATACTCTTCAAGTACACTTGACAAAGATAATCCATCTAGTTTCTTTGATGTAGGAGGATCGAGAATTTCCACCCATTATAATCCATATGCTTCAACTTTTGATCAGCCGTTAAGCACCAGATTCAGTTCTATTGCCTTTACGCAAGAAAGAGGGGATGTTGGTGGTATTAAGTATGATGGACAATCAGCTGGTGATCATGGATCAAGGCAGATTATTTCCTCATCAAATTCTTCTAAGGTCGGGGGACAAACTCTGCCAACTTCAGGTGGAGACCAATATGATCCTTTGTTTGACAGCATAAATCCATTTTCAGAATCAATTAAGAATGCTCAAAAGCAGGACCATGCAGCTGATAACTCTTATATCATGTTAAAGTTTAGCAGTCGTCACAATGTGTTAGATGTGGAAGAGAACAACAAGCAGAAAGTGGTTGGAGCTGTTCCTGCAACTGTGTCTCTGGAGAACGATGAATTTGGGGAGACAGCTGATGCTGAAGTTGGTGCTGTTGAGAATGGAAGCCCTAGCAGTCCCAATGAAGATGCGGATGTTGCTGAAGGTGGCATTGAGATTGATCAAGTAAAGTCAGAAGGGAGAAGTAAGAAAAATAAGGACTCTAGGTCAATGAAACTGTTCAAAGTTGCAGTTGCAAATTTTGTAAAGGAGGTTCTTAAGCCACAATGGCGGCAGGGTAATATGAGCAAGGAAGTTTTTAAGACAATTGTTAAGAAAACTGTTGATAAAGTATCTGGGTCTATGAAAAACCACCGTTTACCCAAATCACAGGCAAAGATAGATCATTATATTGACTCATCACGGAGGAAACTTACGCAACTAGTGGAGGTTAGTTTCTACAGCCATAATTGTATGATATTATCTGGTTGCATAGTTGAGACTTTTCTGCTCTTTATTGGAAAATTCTCTTTGTTGGCTTGCTTGTGAAGACTTGTTTGCACTCTAACCAACCTAGTGTATTAGTTTTTTTTCACCCTTAGTAAATAAACCATTGGGTGCTTAACTTTCCCCCTTTCTCTCTCTCTCTCTCTCTCTCTCTCTCTCTCTCTTTTTTTTCATTGGATGCTATTAACAACCAATGTTGACCTATCAGATTTGGCTCTTGAGTACATCATATACCCTGGTAGGATTGTTACACTCCAACGTGGTATAGACTAGTTGACTGTAGAAACTTGACAATTAACTTTGGACCAAAAAAGTCAAGGTTTTTGTTTTTTATTTATTTATTTTTTTAAAAAATCTCTTTTTCTTTTCGCTTTCATGGCCTTTTTGTGTAAATATGGATTTAATATTTTAATCTTGTTCCTTTCTCTTCGTTGATGTATTTCTTTATTCGCATTTAGGCATATTATACATTGGTTTGCTTTTAAGATAGACTTATTTTATTATTTGTCTTCTGTTGAAGTCTCCTTAAGCATTGCATGTTACTCTTCAATTTTGCATTTGATCATTGAATTTGTTGTGCTCAATACACTTTAGTGTGAATTAAACAATAATGTTGTGAGATTGTCAGGTCAACTTTGATTGGTTATGTTAAAGAGCCAACCCTCCCCCCCCCCCCCCTTTTTTTTCTGAGAAAGGTTTTTCTTAAATCTGGTATTTCTACTTTCTAGTGAAATTTGTGTCTTTGTACGAGTCATTTTGTCCAACATGCGGCACTGGTATCAGGTTTGGGTTTGTGGTACCAACTCCATGTTTATAATCTTTTAGAATGTATAATGATACCTAGAAACAAAAACACATACCTAATACCACATGTTGGTTGATTAATTGAATACTCAATCTCCTCCTTTCTCTCTCTTTCCTAGTATCTCCCATCTTTCTAATTATCATGTTATGTCTTCTTAAAACTACACGAATAAGTGGTGAAATTACTGTATCAAATCCCATAATGTGGTCAGTTGAGCAAAAATATTGTGAACTGCAAGTGTCAAATAGCAAGAAGTTCAATTAGTTAATGCTAGTTGACCCGAAAATTAAGGCTATAATTAAGTAATAGTGGTAAAATTAGTGGTAATTGAAAGCAATAAAAGGTTATTAGCTGACCAACAAATTTAAGCTGATGACGTAGAATATGCTTGCATGATTACTCAACCTTTTTCTTATGGTTAAAAGTGACTGTCCGAAATTCTCTGCAGTGCAGAAGCCAGCACTTAAACAGTGTGTAGTCCTAGATGGTAAATGTGTGATGAAAAGTAGGGTTTGTTAAGTTAATATCTACTCTTTGCTTGTTGGTTGAGCAGGGTGAAAATTTTGTGAGAGATAAGTGAACTATAGATGAGGGGACCAACTTTAGAGAGAAAGTAAAGAGGAAGAATTATCAGCATCAGATTAACTTTGGGCCTAGTTGATCACTGTCAGTTTAAATTTTTGGTTTTGTGGTATCAGAAGTTCTGTTGTTTTAAGCTAGAATATGAACACAGAAACAGCCAAATTTTTTTTGGAAACTTCCCTTCGTGCTGGAAACATCTTTATTTAGTTTCCTACCACTAGTTTCTATTTTTAAAGTCTGTATCGAAAACTTAAAATAAACAAGCATGCCCTCAAATTGTATCATTCTGAACTGGATGATGGTTCATCGTGAGGCAGAGGTATATATTCCTGTTTTAATTTCTGATTTGAAAGGTCCCTCCTGTGGGTTAGGGAAGCCATACCTTAGAAAAATTGAGAGTTAAATACAAATAAATTTTAAATTATTGAACCAAACCAGTGTGGTCTAGGCGAGGCAATTTTGATGCACACTGAGGTGCACAGAATTTTTCAGAAGTCTTTTTATTGTATATTATATGCGCTTCACTTCAATGAGGCACACTGACTTGTCACTGAGGAGCGCCTTAGGCGCAGGGAATTCGGAAACACCTTGGTGCGCTGTGTGCCTTGAGCCTTTTTGTACATTGAACCAAACACCGTGGATGGGTTATTGACCAACTGCACTTTAAGGCCCTAGGTTGGCTCAAGAAGTCTCTCACCGTGGCACAAGTTTGTTTGATTTGTTACTTCTAAAAATATGACTTATCATTGATCTCTTGGGTGATCCATTGAATCATTGGTGAACCTGTTCCTTTCTTCTGAAGCGGAACATCATTTAGGATCTATAAAATGAACGTGCGGTGAGTCAAGATTGGATCCATAACGACAATTCTATTTTGAATTAGTTCCTTTTTCATCTCCGTCCAGTCTCAAAAGTATTTCTCAGTTTTCCTGTTATTTCCAACCTCTTCATCAGGTTAATTACTAACCCCTTTTTTCTTTTGTTTGGGTTTATGCAGGGTTATGTCGGTAAATACAAGAGTTGATGTCGGCTCCCAATTCCCAGCCATATTTCCAGGCACTGAAGTATAAGCACCCAGATCAATTTAAGTTAACGTCTGGTTTCCCATCAGCTGGATGATTTTATCTGAAATCTCAGAATTTTAAGTTACATATTGGCAAGTACACTTAGTGTGGAGGACATTATTTTGCCAGCCTTGGGCTTACAAATTTTTTCTTAGGGAGCATGAAACCGAGTTCTCGATATTAGGTATATTAAGATCTTTGACAAGGGTTCTTGTCAGAAGATTGTTTAGCTTGTTGATCATGTATATTGTCTAGATTTTCATAAAATTTGGTTAGTGCATTTCTTCTTTCCTGTAAGATGAAGATGTGACCAATCTCTTAGATTTCTGTAATATTAGTGTATTATTGCCCTGATCATCAATCATATATTTGTTTCATGCTTCCATCCTACTACCATCTTAAACTAATTAAGATTTGATAAAATTTAGCATCCATTCATGCTGGATCAAAATGTCAGCCTGATTTTGTTCACGGCTGATCCACATTTGCATACACCTTTTTCACGGAAATTGATTTTGGCGCAGCCTTTATTGATATTGGCACATCTCTATGTGAGAGGAGCATTAAAAACTATGCTCACACAGGGGTGTGCCAAAATCATTTCCCCTTTTTCACCCATGCTCTATTGTAGTATTGGCGCTTAATACAGACATACAATATCTAATGTTATTCATTAGTGGTGAACTTCAGCCATAATGAAGAAATTTCATGGTCAAGTTCATAGTTCGGATTTTTCAATTGAACGCTCAACAGGTCATTGATGGCATCTTTGCCTATTTCTATTGGCTATAATCCTATAACAACGTGAGAGTGTTACAAACCAATAAAAAACGGAGGTACTATCAATAACAATATACTTCTCCCTCCGTCCTATAATTACAGGCAAATAACTCTAAAAAGTACGGTTTTGAAGGACGATGGAAAATGTAGAGGAATATTGTATGAAAAAGATAAAAACTGAAGAATGTTGTATGAGGATAATAAAAAGTAGAGAATATTGTATAGAAAAGTTAAAAAGCAAGTAATGATTGTTTGGGTATGTGTGTAATTTGTATGAAAAAGAGAAAAAGTAAGTAATGGTTTTTTAGGTATGTGTGTAATTTGTATGGAAAAGCTAGAAAGTAAGCAATGATAAGGTGTTATTTTTAGTAATAGGAGGAACATTTTGGGACATCTAAAATAATATATTTTCCTGTAATTATGGGACGGAGGGAGTAAAGGACACTAGCAATGATGCGTGTCATCTCCTGGTGTGTCTTTATTATTATTTTTTTCTTTTTTTAAATTTTAAAAAATAAATCTATTAATTAAGGAAAAAAATCTCTTACAAAAATAATATTATTTTTATTGTTATTCTATATTATTATATAGTAATTATATATTTAAATTAAGTTAAAGGGATTTCACATATCTTTCCTCAAAAAATATTGACAATTATAATCTAAAAAATATAGCGAAATTACATAAGATTAGCTACTTTTGTTTTAGTTATGTCTTAGAAGATACCACTAAGAAATGCAGATATTAAATCAATATCTCATACTTTTCTTCTACATCTTATTAGAATCCATTATGAAACGATATTTAAATACTACTACTATTTAAAATATTGATACTAATACTGTAATAAAATACAACTACATTTTGAAACGATTCTAATAAAATGTTGGTATGTTCTAGAAAGATAGGGTCAAAGTCAAGTGATTCAACTCAAGCACCCAATGTTTCCAAATTAGTCCACCTTCGTACCTTTCTGGCATAAACCTTATATCTCAGAGAGGTCGTATTTCACTTCTTTTATTTATTTATTTATTTATTGAGAAAATCTTCAATAATATGTAGTGCGTAAAAGAAAATATTTTCGCGGAGTTAGTTACATATATAGCTTTAACTCTATCGTATTGAAATGCATAAAAATAATCATACGATCAAATGCATAATTTCTAAGTACATAATAGTTTATTGTCTTTTTCATGATTATGTTTCATTTTACTAAATATTTTTGTAGTATAGTAGTTCACACAATTTTAGACAATTATTTTTACGCTAATTAAAATAGTATTGGTAATACTACTGAAATTACCGTGTATGGCACGGGATCTAACCTATTATATGACTATACGAGTGCCATTAAATTGTTATCACTATTATACCATTAGAACTTTTTTAGAAGGGTTTGTAGTACCTTTTTTAGAAGTGTTGTATTGTCGCTGTTTTAGATTATCATATCATATAACTGATATATAAAGCTAAACTTTTAGCCAGGTTACATGGCAGCGATACTTGACGTTCCAACTTTCGCCAAGTATCGCGCCACGTTGGATAGATTTAAATAGATTTCATACGATAAAAAAGATAGTTTAGAATTCAATTTGGATAGAATTTTAGGATAAAATTGTTAGTTTAGAGTTTTATTTTCGACAAAATACCAATATTTCAGATGTACAAATTGAATTATAATTTTATTTAAAAAATATTAGATTGTAACTAAAAAAATATCAATATTCTTTAAAGAAAAAAATCCAATACTATTATTAGTCACTAGTTTTGTGCCCCGTGCAATGCCCGGGTTGTTTATTACACTATAAGAAAAAATTTTAATCTATATATATCAAATTTTAAAAAATATCATTGATACAAATTAGTTAGGAATTGATGTCTTTTATCACGATTTGTTATCTAATAGGCATGTAATGACTAATAATAATGTTGGTGGAAATGTTCAATTTAATATACTAAAAAAAAGCAAAAAATAAATTAAATGAAATAAATATCCAAAACCCGTTGGATTGATCCGAAACTAAAACTTTGGGCAAGAGTTGAACTTTCTTGACTCATAACCTGAAGTAACCCAATTCGAGATGACTCATGACCCGACCCTAATTGATGAGTCTACATAATAATAAAATTCTATTAGATTGTGAAGTACTCATATTATTTTAGCCGATTAATATATATTATAAATGGATGTTTTACGCTTTGAACTATAATAGAATTATAATCTAATATATTTTTTTAAATTATAATTTAAGTGGTACATCTTAAATATTTTGGTATTTTATCGAAAATAAAACTCTAAACTAACAATTTTATCTTAAAAATTCTATCCAAATAGAATTCTAAACTAACTTTTTTATTTGTAAAGTCTATTTAAGTTTATCCTACGTGGCACAACACTTGGCGAAAAGTTGGAACGCCAAATGTCGCTACCTTGTGATTTGGCTAAAAGTTTAGCTTTATATATTAGTTCCTAACTAATTTGTATCGAAAATTTGGATTATTTTGGGGTTGTGATGAGTTATGAGATTTTGTAGGTTTTTTTTCTACTAGATTATGAAATATTAATCTCTACACAATTTGATTTACAAGTTAGTAATATTCACTTTCATAAAAATTGTTTCAAAATACCTCATTATTGGGCTCATTTTATAGAGCAAAAAAAAATAATAAAAAATAATAATAAAATAAAATAAAATAAAAATAGAGCCGTTGATATTTTTTTTAGAATTATATTTTAAAACTTATGACCATTACAAAAATTACAACGATTATAAATTCAGAATGAATCTTAGCCATTGATTAAATACATGAGTATCACAATCTTCTTGTGCCACATCATCATGAGTAGTCATAAAATCCCATACACTTGTAATATTTTATTGCATAACCAAAGGCAAATAACCGGTTATAGGAATAACCTAGGGCCTGTTCCGATTGATTGAACTCAGCTGAAGTGAACTGAACTGAACTGAATTGTACTGAACTGAACTTATTAATTAGTGATTTTAACTACGGATTAGTGATCTTTGATTATTTATTGATTGTTTATTACTATACATATGTGTATATACAAATGTACACAATAATAATAATAATAATAATATTATTATTATTATTTATTGATTATTATTATTATTATTATTATTATTTATTGATTATTATTATTAGTATTATTATTTCAATTATTATTGTTATTATTATTATTATTATTATTATTGTTGTTGTTGTTGTTGTTGTCGTCGTCGTCGTCATCGTCATAAGAGCTTAAAAGAATGAAATTTGGCTTTATATCATTAGCAATATCATTAGATGTAAATTAAGAGCTGAACTGAACTAAACTGAATTTCAACGGAAGAGAATAGACCCCTAGTTACTGCAAAATTTCCCCAAGTTTTTCTCTCTGTTTATTTTTTTAGTTTCTCTCCCAATAACCGACCCCAATGGTCAATGGCTGAGCATGCTCTAAGAGGAATTAATATTCTCCTTTTGCTAATAGGATACTTTTAGTCATTTCAACATCAATAAGGATTATACTTCGTATTAAGTACAAAAAAGAAGAGCTAAGAGGATTGTATACGAAGTAATGAAAGTACCTTATTTTACTTTTTTTTTTTTTTAAAAAAAAAAATAAAAAAATAAAAATAAATGCCGCGCACACCACAATAGGGCACTTTTTATTTGACAGGCACAATAGGGCACTTCAAAAAAAACCGGGAGTAAGAAGAATACTTAAGTAGTTAAGTCGTATCCTTAACCAAAACCTTGTCTCTGTTGTTCCCTTTCAAGCTTTTCTTTCCCCTTTAATGACTGATTGACATCTTCAAAACCCTCAATTACTCCTTTTATCCCTCATTTTATTCATTAATCTCTACTTTTTATTCTCGATTTTCGTCTTCAACTGTTTCGATGATTTGAAGATTCAATTGATTTCGGTACGCTCTTTCTCTCTCTTTATTTGATGGTTATTTTTCAATTCGTTGATGATTTCTGAAATTGGGGGGAAAATTGTGAACTTTTGATTATGTGGTCATGAGATTTTAATTTATTTATTTGATGGTTATTTTCAATTCTAGGTTTATTTTAATTTATTTTAGGTTATGTAATTGCATTTTTGAATTTGCGAATTTTTTAGTTTGATTCATTTATTAGACTTGACTATAACTAAATTACCAATGTTGATTGGGACTACACAGTCCACCCTTGGTAGGGTGGACCGTGCGTTCGATCCTTCCCAACAACAATTAGAAGGAGACTGGAACCTAACCACTCAGAACTGATCCTGAATCCGGATTAGCCGAAAAGGTATAATGAATTGCCGAGCTTGGCGTAGCAAACTAGCTTAAATATATCAATTATATGGAATAGTGGAGCTATAATGAATGCCAAGTTTGGCATAAAAGCTCATAAACTGGCTTAAATATACCTCATTACATGGCATAGCTAAGCTCGTCTTGTGTTTCTACTGTAAATTAAGGTGTAAAACTCCTGATTAGTCCTAGCTGCATGCCTGCATCTGATCTCTGTACATTATACATCAATTCATCTGAAATTCTGAATGGTTATACAAATTTTATTTGTAGTGGCATCATTGACATTTTTAACCGTATTTCTAGCCTCCTTTAGGATTATCTTCAGATGTATTCTTATACAAATGATCTGAAAATCTCACTTTTTTCCCTTTCTAATTACACTTTGTTTCATGTTTCTTTTTTGGATAGAGATTGTATGGTGGCAGCTTGATATTCTTCCAATAACTAAAAGTTTGACATCTCAAAATCACGATCACAAGAACTATGCAAACCAACCATATCGTGACACACATGCTTTCTGTGAGCAAAACAAAGCATGGTTGACAAAGGTTGGCGTGCAGTTGGCTGGTAGCAGAGAAGGAATGGATGTAACTGCAAGAAGTTGGTCATATAAGATGCAGGGAAACAGGTTGGCTGGTAATGTTGGTTGCGACAAGCCAATACGACAAGTTTGCCTTAAGTTTACGATGGGTAGATGTTTCCGTGGAGAACTGTGCAAATATCTCTATGGATACCATGAATATGCTACTTCTACCTCTGATATTGTGTCTGTATCTGATATTCCAGCTGATGTGAAAAAGAAGGCAAACAAGAAGAATAAAAAAAAGCGCTCTAAAATGGAAACAAGTGCATGTTATGAAGAACCAATGAAAGAAGAGGTAGCTGATCCCTCAAAACAGGGGATGCAATTCAATTCTTGGCTAGATACTTCTTTGAGTGATGCAAATACCATGTCTTTATCTGGAGTTCCAGTTGAAATGGAGATAAGTGCCTCCAAAAATAATGATTTGGAGAATGTACTTATGCGCGACCAGCCAACTAAAAAGAAAGTAAAGAGACCTGATACATCTTGTGAAGAAACCGTGGTAGTAGAGTGACTGATGCCTCAAAATTGCTTAGTAATGGATGTAGGGTTTTTGCAGCATTGATGATAAATTTTATTTGAGTCGGCATTTTAGAAACTCTTTTTCATTAGATTTGAATTAATTGATCTCATGTCAAATTTTGGTTTTTGTTGATTGTCAATAATCCACAAATTTATGAATGTTTGTGTTCTATTTATCAAGCCATGAACAGGCTACTTATATTACTGTCTTAAATGCATCCCTAATTTTAGGATCTGCCAACATTTTATTCCTCGTTCTGTGTTACAACGTAAGGAACCATTCTTTCCTTGTATACATTAGGCAATGAAAAAATTAATTACAAACTTATTAGACAATTTATGCATATTTTGTCAGATTGTAGCTGATCAAATGCAGGCGTGTCCAGGATCTTTCAGTCATGTCGAATGGCATGCTGCCTGAAATATTTGGGTCTTTTTATCTGTCTCTTAAAACTGTTTGTGCTTTCCTGGTTTCTAGTTGCAAAAATTGACATGACTTGACGTGGTACCCCTACAAGGATCTTAGTTTGTGCAAGTTAGTTGAGTCTTGAGATTTGCTTAATGGACTCTAGCTCATTAATTTATCAAAGATAATTCTGTTCGTTAACTAGTTTTATCATCTTTCATAGGCATTTCGATATTATTCCAAGCCAGGCTGAATGCCTGTTAGTTAGCTTTTCCCTGATTAAGACTGTCGTGAATGCTTTTGCCATAACATTCAAATGGTAATTTTATATAGGGTGGGGTGTGACAATATTGCATATTGAATTAAAATTGTATTAATTTTTTTGTATTGAGCTTATGCTTTCATTTCCTCATTCTTTCTGAGAGTTTGAGTCCTATCCTGGTGCAGGTAGAAAATATAATACTTGCTGACAAGCATAAAATTGAGAATGACCAGAACGCTCAACTTAGGAATCAAGTTACTCAATTATTGCAAGTAGAGAAAGAACAAAAGTTGCAAATAAGAGAAAGAGATACAACGATTCAGAACCTGCAGGTGTGTTCTATTTGATACTGTCACTTGGCAGCTTCCTCACCTGCACTCAGGATGATATTTTGGAAACTGCAGAAATAGTCGAGTATTCATAGCTCATCACGTGCTCTTTATAGATTAGCTCATTGATATGCAAACCATACATATGAGCTTCATGGTGTATTGCTTGCAAGTGAATTATTGGTCTTTGGAGATTATAGTCATTATCATGCATATTCATGTCAAACTATGTTTTTCTCTTTAAGCTGTTGGTTTCTTGAACTAATTGCATGTGAATTATTGGTCTTTGGAGATTATTGTCATCTTCATGCATATTCATGTCCATATCTTTCCCTAAGCAGTAGTGATAGAAGACCTGAACAAAATTCGCTCTCCTATCTTTCCTCTACATTTCTAGTGTTTGTTATCGCATAATAAAGGCAGAATGAAGAATCTATGGCTCTTATATGTTTATTTTATTTTCTGCTGTGAAAGCAGTCACTTACAAGATTTTTTGTTTAAATAATGCTTTTGACTTTTGAGGTTTAAAATAACAATTTTCTTATTTCTGAAATCATAATATTACTGCAACTATATTTTTCTCTTTAGGATAAAATTGAGGGCTTAGAACAACAGCTAAATGAGGCCCTCCGTTCTGCTGAAAGTAGATCAGGGAGTGTGCCTGATTCAAATCTCAAGGCTGCAGAGGATAACGTGGATTCATCAGCTGTTTTAAAGAAGCTTGTAGAAGAACTTGTGATGGATTTAAGTCAGCCACAGCCTATGCGGGTCTATGCTAGGAGGAAGGTCAAACCAAGGCAGCAACAACAACAATTCACAGCAGCCGAGCAAATCACAACAGCCAAGAACACAAGCCTCTAATTAAGTAGAAGACAGATTGATTAAAGAAGAAGAGAAGGAAGGGAAGCAGTCTACTTATATTATGTTTTTCTTGATGTTTCCTAATTTGTGCTAAGAAGTCACATGTTTAATCCTAAGGTCATCTTGAACATGTAGGGAACTTAGTATAAGAGTAGTAATCTTAGCATGTAGAAGGTATCCAGAAATTTGTAAGGCAATCCTTGTAGAGTAGCGACCTCAAGTGGTTTGGACTCTTAGAGAGTGGTAGCCTCAAGCTACTCCCTTGTTATCCCTGTCCAAATTAATAGAGAAGCAGTCCTTCTAAATTGAGCATTGTCATTTAATTTAATTAGCCAATCCATTACAGAACTCCTGAAAATAGATGCGGTTTCCCATCAGCTTTATGACTCAATCTGAAATCTTGGAATTTTAAGTTATATTTTGGCAAGTACACTCCATGTGGAGGACAATATTTTGCCAGCCTTGGTCTTACAAATGTATTCTTAAGGAGCATGAAACTGAGTTCTAGATTTTAGGTATTTTGAGATCTTTGACAGGGGTTCTTGTCAGAAGATTGTCTAGAGTTGGACCTCAGAAGATTGTTTAGCCTGTTAATTATGTATATAGTCTAGATTAGATTTGAACTCAAAATCTCTAATTCTAGAACTAATTATCTTATTATCTTACCACCAAGCTATGTGATTTTTTATGTGATCTTTTGAATACAAAATCTATCTTTTATACTATATACTAAAGTAATCACCGGATGGGACACTTGGCATAATTTTAAGAAAAAATTTCCCTCCAAAATGCTTTTTTAAAAGTAAAATAAAAATTCTATTAACAAAATTAAAATTCTCTTAATAAATTTTATTTATATATATTTGTAACACATAAGAATTTAAAGGATAGACATTAATAAATTTAAATTTAAGAAAAAAATGTTACATAAGTTATTTAAGTTAATTAACTCTATATCGATTGACTATTATTATTAATAAATTATACTTTATAAATCCGTGCATTGCACGAGGCCAAAACTAGTATTAATATATAACATATGACATTATGAACAACAAATTTAATTAGAAGAAAATTGAATCATAAATTACAACATATATTACTGAACAGTTCCATGTAATAATCTGGGGCATCGCCTTTGCCCAAAAACTAGTTACAACTTAATTAGAAGGAAATTGTGTCAATTATTAACCCTAGCCCACTCTCTCTCTCCTCTCTCCTAAACTCTAACCTCCATGTCAAATTTGAAGGGCTTACATCGGATTTCAACGGTGGAAAGCACCAATATTATTTTCTTTTAAATTTTTTGGTTTTTAGGTTACAATAATAATGTCTCCCTCGAAAGAAAGGTCTATCTCTTTCGAAAGACAAGGTTTTTTCGGACTCCTTCAAATAACAAGGATTTAGTTGTGTTTAATTTGGTCTCCGGTGTGCGAGGCTACGATTGATTATGGCTCGAATTCAGGCTACAGAATTAGGACAAGAATTAACTTTCTCACAAAATTGCGAAGCGATGATGGATCCACTCAAAAAGCTTTTTGTATGAGACAACGAATCGAGAATATGCTGAATTGTTATATTTATGTATTTGGATTCTTAGCCCTTCCCAGCTTAATTCTTGTTTGATTTTGTTAAATTTGTTTCATTATCGTGAATTGTCAATTATAAATGTCGTATGACTTTATCTAATGAAATTTAGTGTCATTTAGGAATTCTTTAAAGAAAAATAACTTAATTAAAGGGTTAATAGTACTATATTGTTACACTTTTTAGTATCTTTAATCAATGTGTATGTAGCTTCTTTTAATTTATTTTTATAAATTTTATTATAAAAAGTGAAAATAATAAGAGAGACAAAAGGGGGAAAAAAAAAAAGTTAGACGGAGCATAATTGTGTAATAAAGAAATACTACTACCGTTTGAAAATACATGCTCCATTAAGGTGTACACATAGTTGTCTTACACAAGTTTTAATTGATTAAAAATATACACAAGTGAGGCATTACTACCTATTAAAAAAACTCTAATTAATAGAGTGAAATAATATAATATGGGACTAGAGGACCATTAGGAAATAGATAAACAATAATATAATACTCCGTAATGAAAGAATTTTAAATTGAAAATTGGGCATTTATATAATTTGTCGTTTATAAAAACTGAGGTATTTATTTGGCAATGGAGTGGATAAGAAAAGTCGGATAACATCTCAAATTTTAATGGTTTGTAAGTAAACAAGAAGGCAAAAATACTCTAAACAAAAGATGATATGTTGGTATATTCTCTCTGTTCCATTTTTATTGTTTCATAGAGCAAAGTTAACTTTATTATTAGAAAATAAAGTAAAAATTGTGTACAAGATTATTTGATGAGGTAATAGAGGGAGAAAGCAAGTGGGTTGTAAGTTTACCCAATTATATAATAAGAAAAATCTTGAAAGGACATACCAAAGAAATACACTATGTAAGTAACAAAAAGAGATGAAGGAAGCATGGATTAGTTTGTTTCTCTTTCCTCTTTCTTTTTTATTATTATTTTTGAATAGTCCTCTTCCCACAACTTTTTAAAAACCAACTTAGGAGAAATTTAAATTGTGAGTTGCTTTCTATTTCCCTTTCTCCTTTATAAACCAAACACTCCCTTAAAGCCTTAACGTAAAAACTATAAACCCGACACATATAAATTTTTTAGCAACATACATACATACGGAGGGTACAGTAAACGAGTCGAATATAGAATCGGAATTTATCAAATTCAACTTGTTACCAAAAGAATCCAAAATGCAGCAACTAGTAAGCAAAAGAGTTTGGGCTTTTGTCTAAACGTTTGTCTAAGAATGTATGAACATTACTAGGGTTAACCATAAGCCGTATCCTTAACCAAAACCCCGTACTTTCGTGTTCCCCTTTCAAGCTTTTCTTCCCTCTTCAATGGCTGATTGACATCACCAAAACCCTCAATCAGTCCTTTAATCCCTAATTTTATTCATTAATCTCTTAATTTTCTTTCCTCGATTTTCGTCTTCAAGTGCTTCGATGATTTGAAGATTCAATTGATTTTGGTACGCTATTTCTTTCTCTTTATTTGATTGGTTATTTTTCAATTGGTTTGATGATTTCTGGAAATTTTGAAATTGGGGGAGAAAAATTGCGGATATTTTGATTTTGTGGTCCTGAACTTTTGGTATGGATTCGAATCTTAGTATATACTATGTTATATTCTGCTGATTTCATTTTCTAGGTTTATTTAAATTTGTTTAGGTTATGTCATTGCATTTGTGAATTTGTAAATATGCGAATTTGTGAGTTTGATTTACATTTATTTATAGATTGGGATTTTTGAAGGAAGGTCATGTTTGATCAATTAAAGATAGATGAACAGAAAACTGTAGCATTCCTCAATGTTTAGATATATTAGATTTGATTAGAATTCAATTAGTAATAAATTTAAGGATAATTACGAGCTTAATTTTATGTACTAGTAATCGATCTGAGCTCGATTTGGTTAAAGCTTGGCTTGGGTCCATAATGTGATGTGCTAGGCATTGCCGAGCTTGGCATAAAAGCTCGCGAACTAGCTTAAATACATAAATTATATGGAATAGTTGAGCTATAATGAAAGCTGAGTTTGGCATAAAAGCTCATGAAAGATGAAACTGGCTTAAATATATGGATTACATGGAATAGATAAGCTATGATGTATGATTAACAATGTTGATTTTGACACGAAACTATAAGAATCGCAAAATTTTGGCAAATAAGTTAGAAATATTGTAAATTAAGCAAGTATATTATTTTACTTGTGTTTTGTTAGTGGAGCTCGTCTTGAGCTCAGGTTAAAATCAATTTCAATTTCAGATTGAGTTGAGCTTGAAATTTCAATTTTGACTATGAAGTAAGTTGAGCTGAGCTATATCTGCTACAGTACTACCCCAATCAATCTCTACTTAATTTGTTAGGTTGTTACCACCCCTGATCCAACATCTTTGTATTGTCGGAGAATTGGACAGTCACACAGCTATCTTCCGTAATATTTATGTTTCTGTTGTAAATTAAGGTGTAACTTCTCAACTCTCAAGTAACATACCCAAATCAAAGTTTGAAGAGTGTGGCAATGCGATATGAGTACTCGAATTGTATAAAGGTTTTAGCATTATCATCCTCAGCTAAGTGTTTGTACATATGGAATATCCGTGTGTTTTTTAACTTTCATTGTAAATTATGGTGTTTAACTCCCTAAGTAAACTTATTAATCTCAAAGCGTGAAGACTGCAACATTGGTTTTTTAGGTGCAATTTAGAGTCTAGGTACCAAATTCTAATGTGTTCTTCCAAGGCAAAATCGTACATGTTTTCATATAATATTGTATCTGACTGACCAAAGTAACCATACTTGTCCGAAGTGTTAAGAATGCAACATGTGTACTTTAGGTGAAATTATCTATGTACCCCAGGTTTTGCTATTGTTATCCATAGCCAAATGTTTGTACTTAAAATTGGTTTGCTTCTGTAATATTGGGACTTAAATAATGGAGAAGGCATTCTCCACCCTGAAGGTTCAGATTGCTTTTGCATGCTCCTACATTTGCTTATATTTTTCTTTGTTTGTCTTTTTAGTAGTAGAACTCTTGATTAGTCCTAATTTGGCTGCTTCTGATCTCTGTACATTATACATCAATTGATCTGAATGCTTATACAACTTTTATTTGTAGTGGCTTCATTGACATTTTTAACCTTATTCTATCCCTCTTTAGGATTATCTTCAAATATATTCTTATACAAATGATCTGAAAATCTCACCGTATTTCCCTTCCTAATTACACTTTGTTTCATGTTTCTTTGTTTGGATAGAGATTGTATGGTGGTAACTTGATATTCTTCCAGACTCAAGCAACTGTAATTAAAAGGTGGAGAAATTCACCAAGTTTGGGCTGGAAATTTAAGCAAAATAGAATGCTGGATAAATACCCTCTTCTTGAAACCGAGCAAGCATTAGACTTGTGGCCGTTAAGTGAGATCTAGAATGGAGCAAACTGTTTCCGAAAGACCTTTGTATCAGGAGCAGCATATCAGCCAACTCCATACACAACCTAATGGTACAGTAAGCAGCAACGGTGCTCATTTGGAACGGGATCCAGAAGAACGATGGTGCCCCAGGAGAATTAGTGGCGATCAATTAAGACATGATAAGGTTCAAATGCCTTTATGTCGTGACAACTTACGAGGCAACTGTACTCGTGGAGCATTTTGTAGATTTTTACACTCTGAATCTGATGAACATGATAGATCTAGGTTCTGTCAGAATGA